TTCTTTCTTTCTTTTCTGAAAAAAATCATTTTTTCTGAATCTGAGGCGAAAAAGTCAGAATTCTGCTCGTGATTTTCAATTTGTATTTCGAATTATTTACTTGATTTTTATTTTTTGGTGAACATCTAGTAAAAGCATAACGATAGAGTCTTTGGTGAAAAAAAGCGATTTTCACACTAAATGTCCATCGACATTTTCATTTTTCTTTTGCTTATTACTCCGTGCTGGTAAGTCGGTTTAGGTTCAAATTTCTACTCTTTTTCAAGCACGGTAAACGGTACCGTTTCTAGGCACAGTAATACGGGGTCGTATACTGTGAAAATACGGCCGTATACGGCCGTATTTTAATGATGTTATGGTCCGTATTCTTGCGTCCAGTAGACCGTCCATATATGGACCGTATCGTTCGATCTGAGAAACTCTAATCTATGGTTGATTTAGTTTTCGAGATTCATTTTCAGGGAAATGACATGAATTTGGAAAATTAACAGTATATATACATAATGTAAACACAGAAGAAAAAGAAAAATATCATCGTTCGTTAGATATATGATCGATCACATGTCGATGGACATTTCCCCTTATTTTTTGAATATTTCAACAACAAAACGAAATTTGCAGCTGAATTCTTCAGTATATATAGTACTTCACGTGCTTGAAAAAGAGTAGAAATTTGAACCTAAACGACTTACCAGCACGGAGTAATAAGCAAAAGAAAAATGAAAATGTTGATGGACATTTAGTGTGAAAATCACTTTTTTTCACCAAAGACTCTATCATTATGCTTTTACTACTCACGCTTAAGAGGAACTTTTTTTGTGAAGTTGTAGATCTTCCAACTCTCTATCTTTCTGCACTAACCGCAAATCTTTACCTGTTATACTTACTGAGATAATTCAGCTTTAATGTCGGTGGACAGAAAACTGGTAACGTGTCTATCAAGTCAATATTTTTGATTTTTCGACAGAAAGACATGTTTGAATTTCAACTCCAAGCACAAATTCTGAAAGCCTGACATGTTCTCTACAAAATCTAGTGTTATCTCAGGTTTGAAAGTCAAACCCACTTTCGAAAAAACAACAACTTCTGCTTGCTAGATAGCGCTAAAAATCAGGGTATTACATCATGTTTGATCTCTGACTCAGCAGCCGGACCAAATGAGATGCTGACTTTACTAGGACTAGTGGGAAAGGGCAAGAGCTTCAAAACAAAACAAAATTTATTGAGTTTGCTCGAACAGAATCGGAGAAATTTGGATTTTACACCTTGGAACTGAACGGTACAATGGGGCGAAAACGGAGAAAAACAGAAACAACATGGCGGCATTGAAAGCCGTAGGAAAAAGGAAAAATGTCGAGTCAGCATATAACTAAACCGTTGGAGAACGAAAAAAGCAGCGTCAGTATGACAATGTTACTTATTTATGTATATAACTGAATAACAAGCGGGGAAACGAGTCATATAACAAGCGTCAACAGTTGACAACAACTACAACGACATAACAATAGGAAAAAAATGGGCAAGCTTGACGGAAAAATTGCTCTGATCACTGGTGGTTCAGACGGTATCGGCTTTGCCACTGCCCAAGAATTTCTTACCGAAGGTGCAGCTCATGTTTTCATTACCGGCCGACGCCAAGATGCTCTTAATGAAGCGGTCAAAAAACTTGGTAGTAAGAAGGTAACTGGAATTCAAGGTGATACATCGAATATGGCCGATCTTGACAAGTTGTGCGATGTGATCAAAAAAGAAAAGGGCCATTTAGACATTCTTTTTGCCAACGCAGGGATATTCGAGGTGGCACCATTAGACTCTGTCACCGAAAAACATTACGATAATTTGTTTAACATCAATGTCAAAGGAGTGTTATTCACCGTTCAAAAAGCATTACCAATATTCGTCGATGGTGGATCGATCATCTTGAATGCATCCGTTCTTTCGGTCAAAGCATCTCCTAGCCAAAGCGTCTACAGTGCTACAAAGGCGGCTCTTCGCTCTTTTGCACGCTGCTGGACAGTTGATTTGAAGGAGCGCAAGATTCGGGTAAATGCTTTAAGTCCAGGACCAATAGAAACATCCGTACTTAGAAATATTTTCACTACTGAAGAAGAAAAGAAACAAGCCTACGACTCAATGGCGAGTAAAACAGTGATGGGTCGTGTTGGTAGGGTGGATGAAATCGCCAAAGCTGCAGTCTTTCTCGCTTCGGACGATAGCAGTTATGTGACTGGCATCGAACTTTTTGTTGATGGTGGCGCGGGACAAGTCTAAAATATTTGTTGTTGTAGTGTAGTTATTATTTGTTAGCGGTGATTGTATATGCCAATGTTAATACTCATATATGTCAGAGTGTGTTCTAGAATTAGGAACATAACCTATGATGCAAACGTAACTGGACGAATCTCAAGGTTCATAACTTTACATAGGAATCAGCTACGAAATCAATTTTTATTATTATTATAATAGTCATTGTTCGAATTGTATAAAACAATGTTTAACAAATTGAATAAAGTCCTTTGTCATACATTTTGCGCACGTTTTTTCGAACCGAGTGAACCATAGTCTGTAAAATTTTTTTGTCAAGTTCTTTGGTTTTTTCTTGTGTTCGACGACCTAACAAATCCAAATTCTTGGCTTCCCAGTTACTAGCGAGCATTTTCTGTTCCAACATACTCCAAACTCTTTCGATTGGCCTTGCTTGAGGAACGTTTGGTGGTTATCAATTTTTGGTGCGAATGGCACATTTTCTTCATTTAACCGGGCAATCACTAATCCTCCGTAATGAGCACTTGCTTTGTCGGGCCAGAATATGTAATTGTTATCTTTATGATGCGCTCGAATAAACGGTAATAATCGTTTGTGAATACATTGATCTAAATATAGTTTTTGAGTAACTGCTTGAGAACCTTTATGAACATACATACTTGATACACCCCGTGACGACATAGCCATCCAGACCATAATTTACGGTTAAAATTTTTACTTCTTTCAAAACTTCACATCGGAGGGAGTAGATAATGGATCAGTTGAGTAAAATCGCTGATTAGAACCAACATTCGAACCGGTTAGTGTAGAGAATTTTTCATCGTATAAAAGATATCACAATTTCCCAAAATTAGTCTGTTCAATTTACCACACAGTCTTCTTGCTCGCTTTTCTTGTTCTTGATTGTTCATCTTGGGCGCCAATTTCCGTTTTCTGATAACAACTGATGTCCTTGTTTTCAATGTGCGACTGATTGTTGCCCGATGTACTCCATAACGTCGAGCAAGCTTACGTTGACTAATACCAGTACGATTATTGATCTTTTTCCAGAGTTCTAACTTTTTAATTTGATAATTTGAATGGACGACCAGTTTTCGGGAAAAATTTTGTCGTATGATGCGTAGAATACCTTTTTAATATATAATAAATACTTGATCTCTGCACACCTTGCTTTTTGATATAACTGACAGTTGTTTTTTTGTTCATGTTTGACAAAAACTTTTCTTCTGTACAGTTGATGATCTCAAAAGGTGAACAAGAAAAAAAGACACTTGACAGTAACTGAACCAACTGTGGCCATCTATGATAGTTATGGAGCAGCCATCTTTATCGCCACTGTGCTGATCTGGTATTCTTTTGACATCGTGTTTATGCTTATTATACAAATGAGAAAAGATCAGAAACAATTGAAGATTATGCAAAAAGACGCGCAAGTTTACTGATTCAAGGATTAAGAGATCAAACTTACATGAAGGAAATTCTCGGTAAGATAAAGTTCAGGTAATTCAAAGTTTAAGCGGTATTTTATTTTTGGCTTATTTATACATCATTGGATAGGGAATCACTTTGTGAACCTATCTAGTTTTTTGTGTTAAGGGCTGAACACAAAAAAATCTCGATGACTTTTCAACGTGAAAATTCAAAAAGAATTAAAGTACTCAGATAAGGTAGAGATACGGGTTTTTTTACCGATTTCGCAACCAAAAAGAAATTCATCGTAATTTTCATTTTTTTCCGTCTAAATTGTAAAATTATATCAGGTATCGGCAATTCAAACTTCAAGCAAAAAATTTTCTGTTTATTTCATACGTGTTTGGATAGAGCGCGATGAGTTGAGTAAGAAAAAGTGGTTTTTAACTTTTGAAAAACTTTTTACGGCCAAAAAATTGAAATACTTAAAGGATCCATTTTTCCGATAAACCGTTCATTTTTTAAAAAAATGGTTCAGAGTTCTTTTTAGCTTTCTAAACTATATTTTTCGGATGCATTAAAAACTGAATACAAAAACGATGTTTCATTGAATTCAAACTCAAGCCTGGCTTTGGGAATCAGACCATTGAAAATGATACATGCCTCACTTGTAAACCTATCTAGGTTTTTCGGTGAAGGAATAATGCCATTGTTTTACCCCGTTCGGTTCAACAAGGTGTCAGCAACAAAAGCATGCATCGCTTTTTTCTTTCTTTCTTTTCTGAATCTGAGGCGAAAAAGTCAGACTTCTGCTCGTGATTTTCAATTTTCTCCATCAGAACTTAACTTTTATGCAATAAAAAATCATATTCGGAATCAGAATCCCAAAGTGAGTCGACTGATATGTGTTGCAATCCAATTCGACTATTTTAGTTTTTGTCGAATTTTCACGTTCAAAATTATTGAGATGTTCACCAAAAAATAAAAATCAAGTAAATAATTCGAAATACAAATTGAAAATCACGAGCAGAATTCTGACTTTTTCGCCTCAGATTCAGAAAAAATGATTTTTTTCAGAAAAGAAAGAAAGAAAAAAGCGATGCATGCTTTTGTTGCTGACACCTTGTTGAACCGAACGGGGTAAAACAATGGCATTATTCCTTCACCGAAAAACCTAGATAGGTTTACAAGTGAGGCATGTATCATTTTCAATGGTCTGATTCCCAAAGCCAGGCTCAATCAAATTTTTCAACCGAAGTGTGTATAGTCAAGAAAAACTCAGAATCTGGCAAAACTTTCTGTAGATGGATGGGTAGAAATTCAAACGGCTGCTTAATATTCGATACGAGAGTATTTACGTCCTATGTTCAACCCAGTATTTTGAGTATAAGAAGGCATTCCTCCTAGTTGTGTTTCTACATTTATAAACTTCAGATGCATAAGCTGTTTTTGGTGTTCTCCAGCAATTCACATGTAATCCTGATCTGATCCCTGCTGAAAGAGAAAATGCTGATGAATTATTTAGTTAAGATTCCCAGACATAACATTTAACACTCTAATACTTTAAATGTTATATCGGAGACTTTTGTTTAGATGTGTGATTTGTGAATTTTGGTTTGTTTTTAAAGTCATATAAAATTTCATTCAAAACCCGTTTGCCACTATAATACTCAATCATAACATTTTAAGTTTAACGTGTTTATACGGGTTTAATTCCTAAACTTAACGCGTTCGAACGTGCTTTTGAAAAAGAAACGATGAAAACAGCGTTCACACTCGTTAACTTCCAAATTTTAACGCGTTAGAGAAATGGATTAACCCGTTAGATGCTTCATATTTAACGCGTTCTAACGATCATTAACCATTTCAAATTATTTCATGGGTTGTTGGAGATAAGAATTAGCTTCATTTACGTTCATATGAGTATGTTCGAATATGGATATGGTATGGATTCATACCATAATATGAATAAAATGTATCACATACGTCTTCTGATGTGTCGCATAATTCGGCAGATCACTAATATTAGGCAAAAAAAACAATTAAGGTCTCATTTTTACCAGAAATCTATTTTCTCCCCAAGAAGTCAGATCTCCACCTATCTTTTAGAAAATATGAGCCATAGCAGGGAATTCTGACAATATTTTCTCAATCTTCACCCATTATCATTCACAAGATGTCAGCAAAATGGATTGTTTACATCTGCTAAAAAATTTTCTCCCTACAGATTGTCAGAGAGCCAGATAAAATATGTCTGGAAACTCTCTGCTTGAACCGAAATCACACACGTCAATACTCTGTCTTTATTTTAAAAATCCAAAAACGGAGAAAAACATGCGTTTGAACGGTATGATTTTATTCCCCTTCAAAACGTTACGCTGGTATATATATATGCGAGTACAATGGAAAAGAAAAAGAAAGTATTGGACGTCCGGCAGATAGTAAAAGAGAAAGAGATAGTAAAATAACAGTTATCATTTACTGAAAAAAGAAAAGTATCTGGCAACAACGAGAGAGATGATATATACAATATGTATGTCTGTGTGAACAGAGAGAAATATAGAGAACAAAGAGAATGAATGTGAATGATGATCACGCGTCTGACATGTGAAAGGCAATAAGCCTGTAACACAGATATTGAAGAATTCGTTAGAAAAATGCCTAAATGAGAATGTCGTCTTGGAGGAAAGATGACGTTAGTATATTTTGCGTAATTTATGATTTGCAGCAAAACTCTTACGATGTTTAATTACGACAAATATCCACAATTCTAACCATGTCAACTTTTCCTAAATTCTGGAAATTTTTCACATTTTAAAGACATTTTTAACCTTTTAAAAATCTTCATTAGTGGCATCTATATCTTTTCTCTCTTTTGCTACTATATTGACGCTTAAAAAAACAACACTGTATTTACTTTAAACACAAGTACTCTTTTTTCTTTTCTTTCTGCATCACAGTCTATCATAAGAATTTACAATCATTTCAATATGAATTACTTTTTCCAACGAAACACGAGTAAAGAAAGTCTTACGATACAATACCGATAGCCAAGAAAATTTTATTGATAACTGAATTCTGTAGCAGTTTATGTAATCATAACAGATTATTGAATATAGCGGCATTGATCTTAAGCCTTCTTTCTATAACAGCATTTTCCTATTCACCCATTGCATTCGATATATTAAACAGGATATTGAATCTATGTTTAGTGAATTTACGAGGTCTTTAACCTATTTTTTGCTGAAGAAATGGGATAAGAAAATTTTTTTGTTGTGTTTTCTAGCTAAACATAAGTAATAATGACTGATAAAATACCGTACCAATTGCTTGATGTTGATTCAGAAGATGATGAATTAACAATTCGTCTGGCTTATCGTGATAAAATCTTTTTATATAATAAAAAGTCAATAGCCAAAAAAGAGTTTATTTTAATTAATCGTGCCTACGAAACTCTATCCGATTATGATAAACGCAAACATTACAATAATACAAAACAATGGACAAAAGATCTCATGCCCAAAGATTACACTCTTCAGCAATTGGCCGTTGAAGATTTGCAATTATTGAAAATTAAACTACAAGATGCCACTATCAGAGAAGTCAATGCTCAAGATCCCATTACTGGTCACACACCATTATATTGTGCAGCGAGAATCGGACATTTAGAAGCGTGTAAATTTCTTGTTGAAAATGGTGCTGAACCGGATCTTTGTCAACGAACAAAAAGTACGGCATTGCACGCCGCCTCGTTCTTTGGTCATCCAAATGTTGTAAAATATTTACTTCAAAGTGGAGCGAGTTATAATGTTAAAAATAATTTTAATAATATTCCAAAAAATGAAACAGATAGCCAACAAATTGTGAATTTATTCACAGAATTGGAAGAAGATCCATTTGTGCAAGCATTCGCTGGAAATTTAGATTATTTCAAAAACGACTATGTCAAATTAGAACGTCATATTGATGAACAAAATCATCTACGTCAAACTCTATTGAATTGTGCAAGTAAAAAAGGTTATTTAGAACTCGTACAATGGCTCGTTGATAATGATGCAAATTTAGACATTGTTGATAAACATTTAAATTCACCATTACACGTTGCAGCGTCTAATGGACATAGAAAAGTTGTTGAATATCTATTAAATAAAGGTGCAAATCCAAACTTATATAATAAGTGGGCAGCAACTGCCGAAGATGAAGCAACCAATCATCCAGATATTATTCAATTATTTAAAGAAATGAAAGAAAAAAATTCATTTGAAATGGCCGGGAGAGGGAAACATGACATGGTTTCAATATTATTTTCAGAAAAAGTGTATTAATTTAGTTGATAATGATGGGACAAGTTTGCTTTATTATGCGTGTCGAAAAGGTTGTTTAGAACTTGTCAAATGGTTGATCATGAACGGTGCTAATGTGAATTTTCAACAAACAGAAAAAACAAAGAGTACATCGTTGCATGTCGCCGCATTCCGTAAACATAAAGATGTTGTCGATTTTCTTTTGAGCAATGGTGCAAATCCAAGTATTCGAAATGTATTTGGAAATACACCAAGTGAAGATGAGACGACCGATGAAATTCGAAAACTAATAGCAACATTTGAAAAAAATCGTATTGCTGAAAAAAATTTGCAAATTCATTTGTTCATTAGTAATGATCACATGAGCACAGAGCCAAATGTTAAATTACAATTAGAAATGACAGCGACTATTTTGGATGTTATTCAGAACATACCCACATCAATTCTGAATAATTATCCGAACGGTGTTCAGTTTTCTATTGCCCGACGTCCATTAAATTTTCCTGAAGATACAGAATTACTTGATGCCGTACAAAAAATTCGTTATATTGATGGATTCTTAATCTATTTGCCGCTCTGTTTAGTTATTCATCATGCTGATGATTTATTACCGAAAGTGAAAATGAATCCCAATATAGTACCGAGAGGTTTTGTGGAAGTAGTTGACGGCGATAATAAATACGAAATTATGCCATTGGATGAAATAAAGATAATCAAACTGACCAAGTTAGAATTTGAATTTCCACCCAATTGTGTCGATGAAAAACTCGAACTTCGGATTTCATTCTTGAAAACAGCTAATTGTGTTGCTAGAGGACTAAAATCTTGTGCATGTATGTTTCTTATACAAACAAAAAATGACAAAAAATTTCGTCAGACTCCACTGATCAGATACATCAGTAGTAGCAGTAATAAACGAGCAAATTTATATGTATTCAATCAAAGATACTGGTTTACACTAAACGACAATAGAATGATTCAGTCGAACGCATGTTATGCCATTGTTGAAGATTCCGAAATTATTCCGAATGAGCTATATTTAAATCCAGATATGTTTCTAAATGGACGTCTCGAACCAAGAGATTACCCAAAGAAATGTTTATGTTTAAGAATAAAAGAGAGGAATGACAAGGACTTTTCCAAAACAGCTTATCATGGAACCAGTATACAAGCCGTACGTTCCATACTTACTGATGGATTGGTCATTCCAGGCACTGTGACAGCGACTGGTAAACGTATTAATCCACCAGCGAATCATATCGCTCGAGAAAGGCCTGCATTCAATATTCCCGATTTTGCTGGGGCTATTTTCGTTAGTCCCAGCGTTCATTATAGTTGTGACTCTACATATGCAATACAATTTACTTTTAACGATCAATTAATGGTGCCAGTGTTAGAAGTGGGAGTAAGACCAAATTCTTATACAAAATTTCCCAGCACCGTAACTGATTATACTTTACATGACAATGATAATCCAGAAGAACTCGAATGGAGAATCAATAACCCATTAGATACAGAAATATTTAATGTTTTATTCATACCAGTAATGGAATCAATTACATTTGCAAGAATAGAGCGAAAAAAGCGAATTGTTGAATAAAATTCTTGTTTTACATATTGAAATCTTTATTTATTTTGTTAGTCAATGTTCACTCTTGAATTGTCCATAGGTCAAGATATCTAATTTCCTTTGTTCCATTATTTTTCTTATTTTCAGTGTAATAATGAACGATTCAATCTCATTATATGGAATCGAATCAACTTAGATATTCTGAATGCAGTCGAAGAGTCATGAAAATATCCATTATTTTATTTTTTGAAAACAAATTCGTTAAAACAAGTAATTCACAAGCTCACGAGGGAACCTTCCTCGGTGATCAAAAGCTTCTTCACTAAAACGTGCCCATTTTGAGGCAACTTTCAATGATGATCACGGATTTGATAACTGTTTCTGTGATTGAGTCTTTCAAAGATAATCGTGCAAAATCCGAATCCAAGATCTGGATGTTGCATCATCTTCTTCGAAAGACTCAATCGCAGGAACAGTTATTAAATCCGTGATCATCATTGAAAGTTACCTGATAATGGCCACATTTTAGTACAAAAGCTTTTGATCATCCTGGAAGGGTCCCACGTTAGCATCATAGCATGTTTTCAGATACCAGTGTGTGCATTAGTGATTTGTTTTAATTTTTCGATAAATTACGTGAAAATATAAAAGGTTAAAACAAAATAAATCGTAATACTTCGTATCAAATGATCTGACTAACTCGAACTTTTTGCTTTTGCTTTCGCTCTTAATGAATTTAATAGATCTTCATTCGTTTTTACATAACATTCACTGATTGAATTTGGTTTTAATATATCTAGTTAGCAAAAAATATGATATAAATAATGATTCTATTCGAGAGAGACAAATTTAATTACCTGGTGTTATTTTTCCAACGAGATATCGAAAATTTTTTCTACTATTCACCAAATCTTGACAAATCTCAAACGCTTCATTAGTAACAACGGTATACTAAAAATATATTATAATTAATTTTCAGTAAGAGATCCAGTAAACAGGCAAGACTGTCTTACAGAAAAGTCAATTTCTCTTAGTGTACTTGATTCATTGATTTTAGTACATAAAAATATAGCTAAAGCACCATCACAATTAATTTGATTATTGGCAATCTAAATTTATTAGTATATTTTCAAAAAATATTTTATCTTCAATATTGAACTCTTAACTTACTTTTAATATTTGTAAAGAGTCATTTGATAGTAAACCATTACCGATTGTAAATGCATTTTCAGTATTTAATCTATTATTACTAATATTTAATTCTTCTAAAGCACCATTTTGTTTAATACAATCACCCAAAGCTTGACCACCGTCAGGACCAAATCCATTCATTTCCAAATTACATTTCTTTAAACGTACATTTTCCTGTATACAAAAATATTTTTTCACATTTATAATAAAATATTTGATTTTAACTTACTTTTAAACCATTTGCAATATCAACAGAACTTCGACCACGTATATTATTCCAGCTTAAATCAAGAATTTCAAGACTATCATTACCGCCTAAAAATAAAAGTAATAATAACGAAATAATCATAGAACATATTGATTATGAAACTTACTAATGAATGTGCTCAATACTTTTCCACAATCTTCGCCCAAACTATTGTGACTTAAATCTAATTCTCGTAGTGTTTTATTTTGCTTTAAAAAAAAATGATAAAAAATATTGTTAAATATAATAATTAGACAAATATTTGTGTGTTATAGTTAATATACTTCGAACGCTTCTACAAGTTGTATTGAGTCTATATCATTGAAACTATTTCCTAAAAATAGAAGAAACAATATAAGTATGTTAATGTTATAGTTTGTAGATATGACATATATACCTGATAAATTAATTTTTTTTAAATTTCTGTTAATTGTTAACATTTTACATATTTCTTTCGTTCCTTCTCCTCCGCCTAAACGATTATCGGCCAACGACTATAAATTAATCAAAAAAAAGAGGAGAAAAAACGTTTTAACATCACAGAATCTTCAAAAGTTTACAAAATATATACCAATTCGGTAATAAAATCATTGGTTACTATCATTCTCGATATATATTTAGCTGCTGCTTGTTGAAGATAATTTCCATCAAGAAAGAGTTTTTCAACGTTAATATTACTCTAGAATAAATTATAAAATAGAAACCTCCCAAAAAAATCTAATAAATGATCTTTGACTTACCCACATAACTTTAGCAATAGCTCGAATATCATCTGTACTAAACTGATGATATCTTAAAATTAATTCTCTATCTTCAATATGTGCCATAAAATATTTGCATGGAATAATTTTTAAATTATCACATACTTCACGATAATGAGATTTACCGGTAAAATCATGATCTTCTTGAACTGGTTGCTCTTCAAATTAAGAAATTATTCTTTTAATTGTAAGATATATTTGACACTTTTGTAATTTCAATGAGAGTGCTGTTAGACATATGTTTTGCTTTCAGAAGCTTATTTCTCAAATAATCAAACATTACACTGTCAACAAAAAAAGTGTCTTGATAAACCACTCGTTTGACTTCAAAATGCGTCCACAATGCGTTTTGAAGGCATGTTAGGTGCCTTTTCTCATCTTTTTACTGTTAGTCGCCTTAATGTCTTCAAAAAAAACACTTCTAAGTTGTTGTTTCTTCTAAAAAAAAATAACTTAAATGCATTTGAAAGACATCACTAATACATCAAAAACGCATAATGCACTGACTATGATCAGGACACCTAGCCGCTCGTCAGCCACGGGTAAATTACATAGTCGCATTCAAGGCAACGAAAATGCATTGAGACTGTTGTTAGACACAATTATCCTGGCACCTAGTCAAGACATCTGCAGTAAGAGAAATGGAGAGACACTTTTTTCAGAAAAGTGTCCTGTCCGCATTGTTTCTTTGGCCACTATCGTGACTATCATACTCCTGAACAGGCGATTTCTAATCCATTGCTTGTTTATTTAATTATGTTAGATTCGTTCAAATCAAATAGATGAATTAATCGAAGAACTTGGTCAGAAATCATCAGATTTTTTTCACTTCAAAAATATTATAAAATGAAATCACCTTGTTCGTGAATAACTACTTTGATGTTGGTATGTTAAGATCTTTTTCTTCACGATGATAAAAAAATATATGAAATATTCAATCTTACAGTGTTCTCATACAGATAAGGTCATGATACTGTTCAATACACAATGTTTAAACCAAGATATATCTAAACACGATTTGGTTGCTCGATTTAGTATTTTCTAATCTAATTTCAATTCAGAAAAAGAGTTTTATTGTTTATGTCGTATTAGTTTGAAAGATGCTGAATATGATAAAAAAATTCATGTTTGTGTAATTACTTATTTTTCCACTGTCTAGTTGTATTAAAAAAATATATTATCTTCGATTAATAGATATAATTTTGCAAAGAAACAAAGTTGAAGTGAGATTAGGAAATACTAAATCGAGCTAAAGCCTTGTTTAGATATATTGATTTACACATTGGGTATTGAACAGTATCATGACCTTTTCTGTATGAGAACACTGTAAGATCGAATATTTTATATATTTTTTATTATCATAAGGGAAAACCTCTTAACATACCATAGACTTATTCGTCTCATCTTTGCACGTTTTTCGTGAGAGTCCGCTTTTGTATGGTATCCCAGTGTATCTAATGCATCCTGCATGCTTTAAGGATAGCAGGATGCCCTACTTTATGCATTCAAAATGTGTTGACTAAGCATCCGCAATGTTTCACGCAGACACCATGGGTGCATAAAACTGGCATCCAGGCGTCTTCGTAAAGGCATATTGGCAGTGGAAATTTCATCTAATTGATAAAAAATAAGGTTGCCTTTAACGCGGTTGAAGTTATTTTTTTTTGTCAGTATCATCGCACTCTTTCACATTTAAGAAAGTTTACTAGAATCAATCTGTTATGATTATCAACACAATTAGCTCTAGTGATTCATTAAAAAAATGTAATTTTTTCTATGTCAAAACACAAAGAATTTAAACTGTTGATATTGTTAAAAGTTAAAAACTTAATCCTCAAAAGTACATATTTATTTTAAACGGTTTCACTATATTAAATTTTAATTTTTTTCTTTATTTTTACCTTGTTCAATATCTGTATCATATTCATCTGTCATATCATCTTCATTTCTTTCAATAATTCCACCTTCTCCATATACATAACTTTCGTCATCATCATCCGTAATATCACTGAGTTGTGGTTGATGTTGCTGATGTGTTTTTGTAAAATGTGATGTTTTTTTATTTAATTCTTCTAAAATTGTTTCATACAATGCATCTTGTTTTATCTCCGTTAAAAATGTTTGTGGTATATAGGCAATTGAGGGAAAATTTAAAACTTGATCAATATTTGTTTCTAACAAAAAAAAAATGAGAAAAAAATAATACCATGAGAATTAGATCAAATTTCATTCATCATGCTAAATATAAATACCATCCACTTCTTCAATATTTGGTATTTCTGGTTCATATGTATATTTTAAATGTGTTGAAGATAACGATGAACTTTGAGATGATGAAGTGGATAAACGTCTTGAGCCATTTGTAGCATTGGTATTTCCTCTTAATCGACCAAATTCAATCTGTTCAGTTTCGCCATGTTCTGACAGTATACGCTCACGCTAAAACAAAATGAACATGTATAGAGTTATTTCATTATGAATGTGAGAATTAGACTAATATCATAACATTAAAACAAAAAGAAAACATCATTTGTTTTTTTTTGTCATACTAAAATTGTTTTTTCTCTATACATTGTATAAGAATTGTGCGCAATATATTGAAGAAGAGTTAATATATGCTTTATTGACACTAAACTAAGATTTTAAAACAGACAGAACATGAATATCTATGATTTCTTCACTATAATGATATATATATATTTGAATCATTAGTGAAATTTTGTCTAGTATATTTAGTAATTATTTAGTTAACTAACAGAAATAAAAAATAAAGTTGTTTATTATCTTACTTCTGAAATGTGACTTTTTGGCATTTTAAAACAATATAATAAAAAAACAATTATATGGACTATTTCTTTATCGTTATTAAAATGTCTTTCCTCTGTTCTTTCGACAGAAACGAAAAAGTTTTCTTCCTGCCTGGCATCAATATAGTTGTAATAATAATAAGTTTGTGTTGCGCACCAACAATGTTTTCTACATTTTTTTTTTTTTATTGCCTCAATCTAATAAATTTTAGCATGTTTATATAATTGAAGCTTTACTTGTGTACAAACAACACGTACATTTTTATTTTTCACAATCATTTTTAAATAATAGAGTAATAGGTAAAGAAAGAGAGAAAAGAAACGAAGAGATTTACAATGAGCCATTTTCAATATGTTCAGTATTAATTCTAAAATGGAATTGAAAAATGGAACGGAAAAAAACAGAGAAAAAAATGTAACTGCTATTACTCGATACGCACATATTTCATGGTCCTTGTCGACTCATTACATAAATTAAATATATAAGCATAAATAAATTAACGAAATAATAGCTTCGTTACAGACTGTAAATTTCATCTATTAAATGTCCAAAATACTACTACATATTCAAAGAATGGTGTGAGATAAATTGACACAAAATTTTACTACCCGACAGTAGTTTAGTCAAAATTTTTTTTAATCTTTTGATATTTTTCTGCGATTTTTTTACGGATTAAATTTTCCTTTATCGATTTCAGAAAAAATCTTTTCAAAATTCTCAAAAATATACATCTCTGAGTTGATTGTTTACTAATTTGTTTCATCCATCTTGCCAAATAATCCCGCTCTTTTCGCTTTATTTGCAGAACGTCTTCTTGTTGGATAATTTGACAATTTGATGTAATTTATTTGATTTAATTTATTTTGATGTTGGTATGTTAAGATCTTTTCCCTTATGATGAACTTTTTCCTTTTTTCCACACTCCTTGAAAGTGAATTCAGGAACTTTTATGGATTTGAATGGATTTAGATGGACTTTTAAAGGATATCAAAGTCTTCAGGGGCACACAAAAGTTCGTGTGAAAGCTCCTGACATTTGGAAACTTATGTGAATTTAGATAGTTTTTGAAAATCCATAATTGAGAATTAATTATGCCTTTTCCTTCTTGAATGGTTTGTATAAGACAAATGAGTAGATCTCTCATGTTAAAATTTTGTACCGATCTACCTTACCTTACCTTAATAAAAAATATTGTTATACAATGAACAGAAAGATTGACTTGCTTACAGTGGTAACAAATGCAAACCTGTTTAAACAAAACATATTCTACACATCTAGTATTGTCAGATAAAAATACATCAGAAGGCCCATGCCTTGAACTCCTTTTACTTTAGGAGTTAGACTGTACTCATATCCTTGGACTGCACCTAGAGTCAAAGACAAACGATCAACTAATATAGAATTTAGTAGCAAAAAAGAAAATTTTCATTTTGTTACATCTTTGATGAAGAGAGAAGATGCATGACAAGTTGTAAGTTTTCGGTGCTTACATTCATTATCTAATCACGAATGTGTATCATGGACACACATGCTCTAAGAGTGATTTGTTTGAGGTGGATGCTATCTCTTTTCTCCGACATGTAGGTCTCCAACTCACTTTCCCATAGTGTAGTGCTTAAAATGAAAACATTTTACCTTCCATCTACGCTTAATTGTATAAATAGATTAGACCACATCAGTGAGCGATTTAATAAACAAGTTAAAACTTCTACACATATTTCAAAGAAGACGGTATTTCCGGTGACTAGACATGATTGAGTCATTTTCTCGAACCACTTAAAGAATCATCAAGAATTCTTTACCGTTAAAACATTTCAAGTTACTTTTAGTAGCGGTTGATTTAGATTTGTTTGGACTACAAATGATATATGGTAATAAATTTCACCATCTTCATAGACTTGGTCTAGACCTTGAAAAGCAACTGACTCGAAAAAATCACTCACACTTTTCGAAAAGCTCGAGTCAGTTGCTTTTCAAGGTCTAGACCAAGTCTATGAAGATGGTGAAATTTATTACTATATATCATTTGTAGTCCAAACAAATCTAAATCAACCGCTACTAAAAGTAACTTGAAATGTTTTAACGGTGAAGAATTCTAAATGATTCTTTAAGTGGCTCGAGAAAGTGATTCGTCCATCTCTGTCGGTGACTTCATTTTTCTAAAACTAAAAATAATATGTCAGCTCTCTTCAAATTTAATTCACTTTTCATCGACCATTTGATAGGTCGAAAATTCCATCGTCTGAATTCTACCCGATCGAATTCTCGACAAATAAAACCTCCTACGGTAATCAAACTTCAGGTAGCTTCATCATTCTTTTGTAGACAAGCATTAGAATGAGATTTATCGGAGAATGTAGTTTCGGTGTAAACTCTTGCCCGGTCAGTTAAAAGTAGCGTTAAACTTCATATTCTTCTTAGCGTACAATGTCTCATTTCTTGATGCGTTTTTTCCATTGTTTACTTTTTTAATTGTCTTTTTTTCTTTTTTTTTCAAACAAGGTGACAATGAAATGTTATAACTAGTAATCCTTTTTCTACTTTTCTATTAACTGATGCATTTCTTCTTTTTTAAAAGCGAAGCCAGCTATTTGTCAATAAAATACAATTCAGTTCAGTTCATTCCGTTTGTGAAAAAGCAGTCCTAAAATTTGAACTGTTCTTTATGATCTATCGACTGCTATACAGTTCAAAAGTTTAAAATCAAGAAAAGCTAAGAAAAAATTAGTATATGATATAAAGAGCTAAATTGGGTTTGTTCATCAAAGAAGATTTCATAACTCGATAAAAAAGAAGTACTTTGTTCCTCTGACAATACAAAAAGTAGGTGAGATCAGACAATTCATTAATGTTCACATTAGATATAGTGCAGCCGATCTCGTGACAATGTTAAACAAGTGTACATTGGTCAAAATATCTTCACAACTAAGGCACTTGAGAAAGAACTAGATGAAGATTTCAAAAATGAAGAAGAAATAACTTCTTTTGATCAATAGTAGTTGTCGTATTTTGTATTAATGTTTTGGATTTAAATGGTCAGCTATATTAAAAAGAACGAGTAGAAGATTCCAGCCATTGTACAGTCACATGTACCTTTGGACGAAAAAAATTATTTCTTCCCAGCAGAATTGTCTCAGAAAATTTGTTTCTACTATGGTGACCGCACGTACCTCGTACTTTTATCGTGTAACGCATGTATCAAAGAAAAATTCTAAATCCATCACTAAAAAGAACGTGCATTTTAAATAATTGTTATGCAACAAGACGAGAATTTATTTATGCTGTTAATGAATTTGAAAAACTTTTGATATAGCTAAATTATGAAATTATAAATTGAATTTAGTATAGAGAATAATTATCATGTATTTCACACAATTTTCATGTGTCCCAAAAACGAACTATTCACAATTCCTTTACAAATGCATACCTCATGTGGCAAAGTTTCCGAAATGAAGAAACGATGGATTCTGTATATCCTACTGTTATTCAACAGAAAAACACACACGGTATACTCGTGTTCTGTTATCTCAGATCTCGGATTATATTCAATTCTTTGTAGAGCAGCAATTGCTACTGTAATTCTGAAGAAAAGGTTCACTTCCGTTTTTTTGCAAAATATTTTCACATTGATAATCAGGTCCTTAGCCAGAAGAATTTATAAATCGTAGTGAACTTTTAAAAACATGCTGATGGTGCTGATTTTTAAACAAAATTAAATATTCATGCAATTTACTGAAATAAAACTTAACAATATTTAAATATTTTCACGTGTATTAGTTTGTATTTTTCATGTTTTTCATTTTGTTTTTTTGTTTAATTAAAATATTTTTTCTATTTTTTGTAAAAAAAGCAGTGCAGGAAAATTATATTTTTTTACATATATTTACATAACAAAATGATTCAAATTCAATTTCTTAAGAATAAAAAGCCTGACTTTTTAAAGAAAATCATAGAGCCATAATTTGTTTTGTTTTCTGTTGATATTACGGGCGGCAGAGCCTCTTGAAACTGTGTGAAGCCCAAACAGTTTTTTCCCTCAAAGCTAATATGAAATTTTTAAGAAAAATTCTCATTCTACCCTAACTGAATGTGAAACTTCTTGTAACCAAGATCTTGACTTCTTGAATTTTTTTCAGTAAGATCTTGATTCAAGATCTTGGTAAGAAAATAAGAATTCGAGAAATTTCAAGAACTCAAGATTTTGAACATCTTGTAATCTCTTGCCTTCTTGTACCAAGATCTTGGAAATTCTTGAATCATCGTTTTGTTTTACACTCTTGTGTAAATATGAGTGCGACTATTTTCACACATAAAATAACTTCGACTTTTTTTCCTTCTTGAACATAGTTGTTTAAGGAAGAATCTATGACTCTATATGATCGTATATGCAATGGCTATGACTGTCGTAAATAAAAACAAAATATAAAGAAAATTTTCCACTGAAGCTCTTGCAACATCTTGAGTGAAAGATTCAAGAATCCAAGATCTTATGATATTAATAACATTTCTTGGGTACCAGAAGTTTCACTAGGGTAGTAGTGTAAAACGATTCTTCGCGGGCTATCTCAAACTTAAAGAGTAAAAAAGCTCTAGGATTATGATTTTGACTGAGATATTCTTCATTCATGTAGGAGCGTTTCGTTCTCGAACATCTATGCTAAAACTCATAAGCTTTCAGCACAGAAAAATCTATTTTTTTCTCGAAATCTATTGAGGCATAAATCTATCGAGCCTCGCGTACTATGCTTTAAAAACAAATTTAACTGCTCCTTAACTTAAACTTGATATAAGCTTTTTTCTTTCAGAATAGAAGCGGAAAAATTATATTATTATATAGTATTCTCGACTAATATATTCATCAAAAATTGAAAAATATATATTTTCTAAAATTCGAAACATCTTCTGTACCCTTAAATACGAAAAATTAGTTTGAAAGCATCAGACCACTAGCAGACGATGTTAAGTTCATATTACAAACAGCAATTTTCAAACTTTTGGGGCACCTACTAGCGCCCTCTATAAATCGTTTGAACAAAACATGCTTTTTAACAGTTGAAACGTTTATTGAAATCATCCTTACAATTTTAGAGCCTTTTAAACGTATTTTGATTTCAACAATTTTCGTTCATTTTATTACAATGGCAATTTCGTCCTTTTACAATCTAATCGATTCATTCTATTGTATCTTATCATATCTCATCCTGACCTACAGCAAAAATCGGCGGACTATCCCGTTAAGATGCGTCAAGAGCAAACAAAAGGTACAAAAATTCAATTTTGTGAAAATTGAATAGAGTCATTCTCAAAAATTTGTGGATTTCTTCAAAAATTTCTCGTATTTTTGGCTAAAGTCGGAGCATTTTAACCAGAATTTCTCAAAGTAGCAGAATGTACACTCCCTCATACCCCTGGTCGCACCGTCACTGAAAATTCCTACTTCTAAATCGCAACGTAAAAGGTATTAGTGTAGATATCGCAGTTGGCGTATACAGAAATATATTCTATGAATTTATTCGTAAATTGTAATTTCTTTTCATCACATTCTAATTGGTCAATCTATTAGTTTTCTGTCGAGGTTAACCTACAACTAAATTTAGTTAGAATTTATTATATCTTAACCAAAAACTTTTTCGCTATCATGAAGAAAGATTACGGGCAAACTGAAAAATTTATCATTTTTATGCGGAAATGTCAAGTTTGATCTTATTTCAAGAAAGTCTCATTGTTGCCAAATCGAAAGTAATAATATTCTTTTACGAGCATCCCATCTAACCTTTACTTTTGTTTTTGTCGCCGCCCCAAAGTTAAGAATTAATGAGAAGATTATACTTCTAGTTTCCGAAAAGAGGGTCAGTCAGTAGATGCAGAATAAATTTGATGCCTGTATTTTTCCAAGGTTATATGCTCAGAATTGATTGCACATGGTTTTTATCTCTCTTTTTAGATTAAGAAACTTAAAAAACAACTATATCTGTTCAACAACGAAATTTGCGCCCTATTTCTCTTTGATCATTTGATTTTACGCTTATTATATTGCCTTAATAATCTCTTCTTATTTAACTTATAATGAATACTCCGGCTTCGATTGACGAAACACCAGCAAGCTCCAATATAGAACAACGTTATGTATTTTCTGAACAAGAAAAAGAGTTTGCATTAAGAGCAAAACAAGAATATGAAAAGGGAACATATGAATGTACGTATTTACTTAAAAATAACCAAACCACATGCATTTTTTTATTGTACAGATCTGCTGGATCACATCCTAGGCAGCCGTTTTAGAAATTAAAAAAAGGAGTGTAGAAGAAACATTTGTGGAAAAAAGCATGTTTTATCTAATCGATTCTATGTATGAAAGAAGTTGATCAATTATATTTAGTGGTTATTAGCGTAAGGAAAATTTACTTTTTTGTTTTAGCTTGCCTGAAAACTTTAAATAAATTATTAGAATTTTGTCCAGATGATCCAAAAGTATTATTCAATATGGCTCTGACCGAATATGCGCTCTCTGGATTTCAAAAAACCGATCAATTTCGCTCTAGTCTAAATAAAATAGCTGACAGAGTAGGTTTTTTTATCCCTAACTCATTTGTTCCTGTTATTAATGAGTTTCGCTTGTATTTAGCTTGGATGTAGTTTAGATGATATTGAAACATTAGAAGACATGGATCATTGTGCAATATTTTATTCAACAGCGATTATTCTTTATCATATGAAACAATATAAAGCAGCATTAGTCATAACCGAAAAATTATTTCGATTTATGGAGCCAGCAGGTATGCTTTCATCGATTAAACTTCTGTAACTCGCTAAAGAAAAATTGCAGTACGATTTTTATAGGGACTTAGTTCATAGAAAAAATATTTTTCTACAATTTGATGTTTGAATCATACATTGAGATCAGAATGAATCGAGAAAGCGTAACTTATCCTAAAAATACAGTAACTAGTTATAATTTATTTTTTATTTTCTAGAAGAAAGTTTATTTTGGAAAACTTGTATGTTGCTAGTCGAATTAGATTTATGTACATTTCAAGTATGTAGAATAAATTATTTTTTTTACCAAAGAGAACAAGCGACAAAATTTGGCCGCAATAGAAGACCACTCTTTAGAACTCGACCAGATGTGGTCTTCTATTGAGGGTGGAATTGGAACAACATTCAACTTATTATATTATTGAGCATATGGTAAATTATTTTTTATTATTTTTTTAGCCTGGAAATGCCCTAGCTATATTGATGCATGCGGAAAAAATTCTAAATAATCGCTTAAATCCACCATCTGTAGTTACAGCTAATTCAGCTGAGACAAACGATCAACAAGATACAACATTACAACAGCAGCAGTCTGATAATAATTTCAGCGAAGAAAAATTTGAACACATCAGAATGCAAATTAGCCTAGTAAGTTATCACATTTTTGTTGGGAATTTTAGAAAAAATATTACTTTCAGAAATACTTTATGTTTTCTATTTGTTTGTATTTGTATTTAGTATAAACTTCGTTGTTTTCTAATGTTGAAATCGTTGCGTGCATGTAAGAAAGAACTGAAACAGCTAACAACAAATATAGTATGAAAAATAATTTCTCACTCTCTTCTTTCTAAATTATTGTTTAATTCTTTTAGTCGTCTCCTATATTATCTTATCTTCGTGCTAATTTTGAATATTTAAAAGAAAATTATCAGCGATCATTGAAAATCATTACTACACAAATAAATCATAATGAAAACACATTATTAGAGATTGGTGTTAGTTTACAAACCGTTTTTTACAATAATTTGGGATGTATCCATTATTATATGAAAAAATATTGTTTTGGAGCATTCTATTTCAGAAAAGCATTAACAGAAAATAACCATGTACTAATGGAATTAAACAAAGTACAAAGTATGTTAGACAATATTTTTTCATCTATCGATAAGTGTTTCAAAAATAACTCCTATTACCTATTAGTTTATTTGAATAAACTTACTTTTTTCTGTATTTTTAGGTTGCGGTATAAGTGGTAAACCGTTGATTGCACTTGGAAGTAATCGTAAATACGAAATATTGTATAATTTGGGCGTACAGTTACTATTTGAACGTGAACCTTATGCAGCATTTGAATGTTTAATAGAAGTTGTTCGCTTGTATCATACGAATATTCGTCTATGGTTGAGATTAGCTGAATGTTGTATACAAGCGTATAAGTCGACAAACGATGATATATTTAAATTAGATGAAAAACTAAAATGTGTATCGAAAACAATCGGCACTGGTTTGTATCATAAATTAGTATTAGGAAATTGTAATAAATATTTAAAGCAAACAACAGACACCAGTACAAATAGTAATAGTACAGCTAATAATAACAGCACGTCACAGTCATCTTCTACACCTCCGCCACAACAACAACAATCAACGCCAAATAATAACGTAGTCAGTTGTTCAATGGAATTTGCACAATTATGTTTGAGAAATGCTATGGGCTTATTGCCAAATATTACTGATGCCGATTTACAGTACGTGTAGTAGTTTAAATAAAAAAGTTTTTTTCTACATAGACATTTAAAGGTCGATTTTTTCACTCTTTTCTAAATACCATCAGTGAATCTAGTTTTCAGACAGTTTTTGATAGCATACTGCTATAAAAAAATGAAAATATCTGCTATGCTATGACTTAATCTCATGGACGTACGCTTCTTCTTGATGTAGGATGTCGTTGTTTATTTAGAACAGAGGAAGTAAAGTTGTATCCATCGTCACCTACTAATCCTATTCGAGCAACAGAAATGATTTGTCTAAAGTAAGTTAAAATCTTACATTATACTGTGATCACCATGTAATATTTGCAGTTATTTCTCTATCTAGATGTTCAATATTAACAGCATCAGCATATGTTTCACTATGTTTAAACGATTATCAAAATGCTTATTCATATTCATTGGCATTATTAAAAGAAACAAGAGCATCGGCAGGACATAAGTACGTTGGTGAACGAAACTAAGATCTTTATAAGTCACAGTAGCATGGAAAATGAGAAAGAATATCTGTAAGAATGTTGACAGAAAATATATACCACCAAGTATTATATCTAAGTGGAATATATGTATATTTTTAGTTTAATATACGACAAAAAATTAAGAATTAATATTTTGCTCTTATAGTCATTGTTGTTTTTACTTCTATAGTTGCACTACTGTTGTTTCGTATTTGTGTGTTCAAATTAGATATTATTTTGCTTAGTTTCTATTTTTTTTTTAGATATTTGGCTCGATTATATCTAGCTGAAAGTTTATTATTATTGAATAACATTGATCAGTCACTAGTACAATTAGATCCAGAATTAGTTAAAACGGATCAAGATTTATCATTCAAAATATCGTTAACATCTCCGAATACAATTGAAAAAGGTAGGAGTCAATATTCTGGATAGACATATTCGTTTTTTTCATAAAAGTTATCCATTTCTCTTTGCATAATGTGCTGAATATTAAATAAAAAACGGTGTGTGTCACTGAATTCTATTTAAAAAATAATGATTCATTGCAGGAAATTGTATTTTCTCTTTCTAGAAGAGAAACTGGAATCACAAGATTCAATATCAGAAGCAAAAGGTAAAAAAATAGGATAACTGTTTATTCTGTCTACATTGTTGTTTGTTCTAGTGGATTTATTTTCTTGGTCACCAAAAGAAGCACGCGTTGGTCAAGCAATCATTCATTATAATATAGCGGTCATCTACGCCACTGTTGGAGATATCGATAGAGCATTCAAAAGTTTTAATTTAGTAAGGAGTGATAAGTTATCTTGGTTACAATTGCTATTTCATTCTATGCAACTCTATTTGTTTTTCTTAGTTTGTTAATCTATTTGGAAAAACGCAGCCAGCACATTCATTTCAACTCAAATTTTATCTCGATTTATTAGACGGTATTTATATATTTTAAGTTTTATGAAATTTTTCTTGTTAAACTTTTTAATTTTGTTAAGGAAATCGTCAACGTTTACAAGTATTACTTAAAGAACATTTTGGTCATATGACAACAAATAAAACATTTATGGTGCGATCAACCCAATTAAATTCTTCGGTCCCTCTCTCCACACAACCACAATTGCAACAAACCCAAACTGCATCAGCATCCTCGTCAGCACCTATTTTAAACAAATTATTGTTATAATATCTGTTTCTCTCTGTTTTAGAAGAATTTTTTTTCTATATTGACGCATGGAATTTTGTTGATTTTCCACTATTCGGTTGTTTTTCTTCGTTGTTTTTTATTCAAATCTATATTATTGTTATTGATATATATAAACTACACATGTATAGAGAACTATCAGCTACAAATATTGTAATTCATTGAAATACTGAAAAAAGTTGCAAACAAATTTGAGTTTGTACAAAATTTCAATTAATTTTTCAGTTTCATAATAAGATTTTTCGGTAAGCACTTTTTTTTCCAAGTCAAAACGGAATTTAAATTATCAAAAGAGAAGAATCTATTATCATGATCGATTTCAAATAAATAAATCTTCTACTCATCTCCCGCAAAAATAATGATATATTTCGTTAAATATTTTCTTTGTTTCTGTATATATGTTTATGTTTAGTGTCGATGATGACTGAGAAGGTTGAAATATCCAATAAATAAATAACGATTACCGAGTTCAAAGCAGTTGCATTAACTGAGAACCAGTTTCTCTTCCTAGTCTATGAATCAATGGAATATAAGATGCTGGAAGTCTTTTTGACTTCATTAAGTCTCGCACAGTACGTTCATGATATTTGATAGAGATCAAATAATTTTGGTACGAATTTACGTTCAATTTATATGTCAGGTATATTTATCTCACTATTTCTCACGTTTGTTTTTTGTAGTTTAGCCATATTGACAAAAGATGAATAAGTTTGCCGGTATCTTTGTCTTATCTATCAACTCTAACATGCTTTTATGGTAGGTAATTCAACAATAAAATAAGGTTTAAACTCCTTATAAGTTCATTTTTAGTTAGTTGCTTTCGTCTTAGTTTCAACGAATTTGATAAGCCAACGATATCAGCATGTTATTCATTATCATCGCAATGTTCATAGATTAATTAAATAGAAAATATATCAAATATATTTCCTAGTTAAGCCATATCACTATGTCGAATATACCGTGTTGTTAGGTTAGGAGACAACGGTTATATATAATTTCTAATTTCTCTTTACACCATATTAAAAAAAATCGAGAATTCTCGTTGTTTCCTAGATTTTTGTTCTCTCAAGTACGACATCAGTTAATAGATTGTCTAAACAACCAAATTTGATTACTTTATAGCGACAGGGCTGAAGATTTTCATGGCATATACTTCGAATATCGTACGACCTATACAAAGAGAAAATCTAGCTGTTGGTTATATTTCGTAGATAAATATTAAATGATGTGTAGACTATCTCTAGGATTTGCGGCGATAGATTTGTAGGTATTAAAACGTTCATTTATTCGATATATTGATATGTAGCTATTATACTAATCTTCACAATCCAAACAAGGTGAAGTATAAAGTTAAAAAAACCTATCGTGTATGTTTAAGAAATATGCTACTAGTCTCTATAGCAATATTCCATCCGTTAATAGTTGTCTTTCGTCGTGAACGAATTTTTTTCAGATTTAAACTGTGCACAATAAGATCGACAACTTTTAGTACTATTTATTCAAATTTGATGAATTAAACAAATATCTATACATAGAAATGCGTAAATATGACACTTGTTAATAAAAGTGAATCAGAAATTTATGAATCATAAAACTAAATGATATGAAATGCAAAATGATATTCATGCATTAAAAACGAAGAAATTAGTTAATAATTATTACAACAGGATATAAAATGGCGATAAAAGCCTAAAGTGTCTCGAAGATGATAACTGTAAAGCATGTATGTAAGTTTGAACGCTAGAAAGCGATAAATATCAAAAATGGATAAGTTTGAGATGTGTGATTGGTACAAGATCCCTGTATATAAAAGTATAATACGAAAAAAGACTTCTGTGTGGTTTTCCTTTACATTACATAAAATAATATTCTCAGAATTCCCAAGATATTTAACACTAATAAGCATGTCAGTCCACCAGATTTGCTTCTTGTAATTTTTATTAGTAAGTTTTTGCCCATTGAAATTTTACTTGGGAGATGTACGCATGAAGTTTTCTTCGTATAACGTTTAGTAAGATATATGTAAGAGTGTGGATAGACAGAATTATTTGTTTATTTTTGAATTAGATAGTAAATGTATTTGAGTTTGTAGATAGTAAAAATTTGAGTTTGATGCATATCTTTGATTAAAAAAACCTCATTTCATTTTTTTGTGTTCTTTTTGGACCATAAACGTTTTGGTCCACCAACAAAAACCTTGCCCATTTTCCCCACCGTTTTTTTCCGACACAATAGAAGTTTGCCCATTGGTCTAAAAATTCTGGTTACGCCGCTGCAGTCCACTAACGCCGATTCACTGACAGTTCTAAATGATCGGATGCCTTGGAGGTTGGGATTATAGAGACTGCAAGGAAAATCCTAACTGAAATTTTGTTCATGTGTCTTTGTTGAGGATACGGCAAGAATTCGCGTTTTCTGGAGTATCGCGACAACAAAATCGATTTAAGGAGTGAGTTTTTTGTTAAAAGATCACTATCTTGAATCAGTTAATTACTCTGAAAAAATCAACTTTAGGAATGTTTTTCTCTTCAACGCTAGAGTTTCGGGCATATAATAAACCCATTTTGATTAATTATCAGTTTTTCCAAACCATCTTAATTTTTCTCAACTACATTTTTTTAGAGTAAAGTTCACCAGTGGCAAAGTCGTCCGTCAATTGTACGGACGTTAGCTCAAGTTCATTGTTAAAGAAACTTGAAATAGAGATAAAGTGAAACTGATGCTAGAAAAGCAATCAAACTATAACTAACTTAATTACAGAAAGTTAGTTTTGTGTTTTTTTTTTTGGTGCACACGAATCACCTTAGCATTGAATTACCATCAGACTAGAAAGTGTGACCGGCATCCATACACCCATTTATTGACTACGCTAGTAACATACACTCATTTCTTTTTAATGAATAACAGAAGATCAAAGTGTTCTTTTCACTGCTATGTCAATATTTATTAATTCTGTACTTTAGTAAATTGTTGATCAATATTAATCACAGATTGTCATGGTGTATAGTTGAGAAATACTTTTGTAGTTGAATAGCTGATGATCGTAGCGATCATTAAACGATAGTTCAACAGATTTTCTTCTTTTTTTTTATTTCAAAAAATTTGTTAACTATGAATTATAACGATCGGTTTTTTTGCATTCTGTTAGATGGGAGAATAATTAATATGCTCAACGGGTGATAGAAAAAAAAGTTAAAATTTTTGTTTTTTTGTTTGTGTGTGTGTGTGTGTGTGTGTGTGTGTGTGTATGTATGTGTATGTGTGCAGTCGTCAGACGACAAATATCGTTTAATACGTTTTTGTAATTTTTTTTTATATGCAAATAAGAGAGAAAGAGAGAGAGAACTTGTTTTGTTTGTGTACACTTGATCACATTAATAGATGTTTAAGTATATAACAACAATGTAACATTTTTCAAGTCGTTTATTCAGTGACTTGGCAAGGAGCATTCGAAATCGAGAAAATTGTCTAACAAACGTCGTTGAATGTGAATGTGAATTAAAGTATTGAAGTATTGAAGTTTGATTTATCCTAATAGGTAAGAACAACTGAGAAATTAACATGAAATGTTCATTTTTGGTGTATTTTACATCTCATCTAAACTTTTTAGTTTTAGACTACAACATGACAGACACTGTAACACCTTCACATTATCTTCAACGACAAGCAAAGTAAGAATATATGTTTCTTTCATACAGTAAATAAATTGTTGATGATAAACGAATCAAGTTAAATTCTTTAGCTAAAAATCTACGTTCAAATGTGGCAAGATGTACCTTTTTTCCCATCAAATCACTTCCGATTGTATACTAACTCTAATGAGATGGATAAATAAATCAAGCTAAGATTAGAGGATAAGAGAACACATGATGGAGTGGAGAATCCATTTAATTTTTCCAAGAATGCAATGTTCTTTAGATTGAATAGAGAACAAATAAAGGGCGAACACGGAAGAAGAGATTAACAGTTGTAGGATGAATAGAGATCATGTGAAATACTAGGCATTACAGCACTACACAAACTTCATAATTACAACTTTTATAACTATACGGTCAACTGTATCTTTTCTTCTGTACTTCATTTTGAAAAATGACAAGGAGAGTGTGATGTTTTTGCTGAAAGTTTGTCAAATACTGATTCAGTGAAGGAATATATTAAACAAAAATGTGTTTCTTAATTTCGCTCACAATAAAAGTTAACATATCGTTGTTCATTATATAAAAAGTACCATGGTTGTGATTTTTTAGTTCAAGTAACAATCAATGATTTGAAGCAAATATCCGTTCGTACATCAAAACAGAATAATCATGTTAGTCATAGTGCGTCTACGCGTCTACTATCACCTATGTACCATCAATAGATAAATCTGACAAATAATTAATTTTCTTGATAGACTGTTAAAATATTTATTATTCTATTAAAAGTTGATTTGCTTGAACGTACAGATATTAAGATAAATAGTGAGGAATGTCTTTCACATTGTCTCGGTTCATCTTACAAGTGTTAAATTCTTATTCTATGCTGGCCCTTCATGCATTCTCTATTCAATCTAAAAAAACATTGTGTTCCCCAAAAAAATCAAAAGCGTTCTCTTTTCACCCTAATTGTGTTCTATTTTATATAATTTCCGAAGATTAGATTTGCCCTGATTATATTATAATTTGACTTTTGTACATTAGCTAGGCTTTTCTAAAACGCTCTATAATGTTGCAGATGTCTCTGTCAATCTCTCTTTCAGTTTATTTTGACATTCGAAAGAAATCGATGTTTCTCTCTCTGACTAAGTAATGATTGAACTTATATGCCATATGATTGACTTTTTTCTTTATCCCTCACGGACATTTATAACAATGTTTTGTAACAAAAACTAACTCAACAATTACAGACAGTATAAAAAATATATAAAAAATGATCTGTAAAATATACTTTCAATTTCTTTTCACTGACTTCTTTCCATTGTTACCTTCTATGGTTAATGGACTTAACCATCATTTTTATCGATCAGATAACACAAATTGCAATATAGAAGAAAAATAACAATGTGCACAAGTTCAATAAAGAAACGAAATAAAAGTCTTGATGTTTGTATTGCAGGCAGGAAACAACAAAAAATTTTTTTTGTCGCGTTTAACAAAAGAAAAAACAATTGTAATACTCATCAAATAGCTTGCTTGCTTGCTTTTTTCCATCATATTATATTCACTGTGCGCACTCCATCAACAACATCAGCAGCATCCGATAGTTACTGTAAATAATGGCCGATTTGTATCCGTTGAGAAAAGCTGGTAGTTTAGATAGTTTGCCGTGGTCAAATCACAGCAATACAGATTATAATCATAAACGATCGAAAAAGATCAAAGAAAAGGTAATAAACTTGTTTCATCATTGTTTTTAGATCCGCTGCGCCAAAATTTCCTATCAAATCAGTTAAACCAAAACCAAATCAGGTTCTTGTTAACGAGGTCAGTATCATTCTATAAGGTATTCACTACTTTTTTTATAATAACGAATAGGCTATAAAGAATGGTATTTTCAAGTTTTCTCATCGACCTTAAGCCTCCTTGAGTTCACTTTTTTGCAAAAGATTGGCCATTTCATTCTCTATGAAAACATATCGAACATTTTTCTATATACTGTAAAGATCAAAAACAAGTAGAGGAAATACTGTGAATCTTCCATCTTGACAATCGAACACAAACACAACGAAAAAAAATATTTTGGACACAATTCTAACCACTTGTTCGAGCCGATAACTCCTCGAACGCTTATATCGAGGGTCCGAAGTCTCAATTTTCTAGAGATCGAGCCCTTGGTGAGGACCTATTTTCGAGTACTCGATGCACTGGTTGAACGACTTTTCTCGTCTGCCTGGGAATCCCATGCAACTAATTGGAATTGAAATATATGTTCCAGTGCTTCGAAGTGTCGTCGTCATTGCTGTCATCAGTTTGCTTTAAGCGTTATTGTTTAACGAGAAGAATTTGACGTTTTCGTCTAGTCACAGAAAAAGAAATGGAGCTATTGAACGTGAGCTATTCGGATGTGATGAAAAGATTATCCTGCTCTAAGATAAAACAAATTCGATCTCAAAATGTTTGATTTTGACCGAGTGGTGAAAGTTTTCTTAATTGCCTCAAAACGGCTGAGATAAAACAATATTTTTGGACAACAACGATAAAAGAAAAAAAGTTCTGCTCCAACCACTTGTGATTACAGAGAATTTTAAATATAAGCCGTTGATAGAGCATTTAAAGCCCTGCAAAATGTTTAATCGCTTCTTTTTCATAGCTCAAAGTATGAAGCGGTAAAATTGAAAATCTTTTTGTAGTCAGTATTTCTCAAGATTGACGATTCGCAGTATTTCCTCTACTTTTAGGAAAGCGGCTTTCGGACATGTAACAAAGAAAAACCATCTACTTTAACTATTAGTTTACTGCCCGATTATAGCTCATGCGATCTTGTCATTATAATGTATCGGTATTATACCGTTGTTCGATCAATTTTGAGCGAAAATTGGTTCCGCCAAGAATCATAGAATATATAAATAGTTGTTCTGTCCCATAAGTTGTTATAGTCCCTCGTGAAACTTCTTGTAGCCAAGATCTTAACTTCTTGAATTTTTCGGTAAGACCTTGATTTAAGATCATGGTAAGAAAATATAAGAATTCAAAAAATTTCAAGAAGTCAAGATCTTGGAAATTCTTGAATCATCGTTTTGTTTTACACTTTCGTGCATTTTTACACTTAGAATAACTTCGACTTTTATTCCTTCTTGAACATAGTTGTTTAAGGAAGAATCTTTAACTCTATATGATCGTATATCCAATGACTATGACTGTCGTAAATAAAAACCAAATGTAAAGAAAATTTTCCACTGAAGCTCTTGCAATATCTTGAGTGAAAGATTCAAGAATCCAAGATCTTGACTTCTTGGTGTTTTTTCTAAGATCTTGTGACATTTCTTAACCCAAGATCTTGGGTACAAGAAGGTCCACTAGCGGTGTTTTACATGAGTGGATTATGAAATTTTACAGTGCAGGCAAATATCAGAACATGCGAAGCGAAAAATGCATCTTTTCACAATTGACATGAAACGGTTTAATCGTTTTTTCTTGTGTAGGGTATAATTATCAAAAATACTTTAATTAAAGATCCTTGTTATACATTGATTTAACAGGATTTCGCTATTTTGTGTTGCAATAATAATTATGAGAAATAAGGGTTAATATAAATTATAAACTTAAATCGAACAAAAGTGTTCAAATCCTATTTTCCTTTTTTCCCAAATACCACTGTGAGTAATAGGAAGACAGAAAAAATCGAAATTTCCAATGTATCTGAAAGTTATTACCATTTTTTTTCTTTTAGTACTGTCCAATTCATGGTACACCAAAATGTATTTGTACTGATGACGAAAATGAAAACAACAATAATAATACCAGTGATAATGATGATGCTGGTAATGACGATGGCGCTGGACAATCACTTACCAATAATCACTGTTATTCAAGTAAGTAATAATATATTGTAGGAAATAATCTGCAGTTTAATCCGATTTGTTCAGATGGATGGAATGATGGAGAAGCAGGCAGGTTGCAATCATTATTGATGTACAGAGATGCATTAAGACGAAATCTAACAACACCAGTGTTATCCGGTGAAGGATTGCCGAAGTAAGCACAACGAAATCTCATTATATATAAAAAATTGTTTGTGTATGTTTTAGAATGCGTTGTGGTCGAATTGGAAGCAGTTGGCGACACATTAAACAAACAAATACATATAGTGGATCGAATTTATTATTCATCGATGGTTTGTATTGTAACTTGCTCATACATAATTCTCTAAATTCTCTGTGAGGATACATTTTCAATAGGTACTGTACGCGTAGACGACAGTTTCAAATTTCCAATGAACAGATTTGGTTATCCACCTAAAATGAAACGTCATTATTCAATGAATTATTTAAATAATTCACCTTTGAGATCGTCATCATTTAATGATGGTATGACAAAATCTATGAATAACTTTAACGTTAAATCAATGAATAATTTAACATGGTATATAATTTAATATCTATGTACACATATTTTAAACCCAATATAATCGGAAAGCCATTTCTTGTTTCAGGAGTGCAACAGAAGAATTAAATAAACGTCCATCATTATCACAATATAACAATCGTTACTCTCGACATGCGAAAGATGGTTTCACTTATTGGCCAACTGATGTTGTTTATAAAAAGCCAAAAGGTAACAAAAATAGCCTTTTTAGTCATTAAAAGTGGATAAAGGTTAGTGGAAAGCTTGAATACTTCAAATGATCAGATGATTTTGGTCAACTTGTTTAAGAAATGTTCGATACTTTAAATTGTCAGATGAGAGCATGATCATTCATATACATTAGATGTTTTCAATCAGATACTATGTGACCGTAAAGCTGAGAAACGTTTTGAATGTTAAACTAAAGCACCGATCGACCGGTTAAGAAGTCTATAAATATAAAATTCCTATGTTTTAAAGGGTGGCCAATGATTCCCGGTTTATTCGAGGTAAACTATTTACTAATCGAGAGGTTTTCGTTAACTTGGCAGGGGAACTAACGCAAACAGACCAAATAATGCTATATTGTGAGTACACTTACTACAAAAATATTTTATTTCCTACTCATAAATAAATGATCAATAAAGTGAAAGTACTGGACTCTATGCGTCGGTCGATCGGTTGCTATCTGTAAAGTTATAACATGAATTTTATCTATCATGTTCCCGTAAGCAACTCGTTCACTATACAACACCAATACAAATGGTTTGAATTCACGTGTTTTTTGTTTGGATTTTCTGCACGTCAAGGTTTTTTGGATGTGTATTTTGTGTGGGCATATAATATATCACATTCGATATTTTTGTGAGAAACAGCACAGCACATAAGTGTTAAAACTGTTTATAATCGCAATTAGGTCTATAAAATAACCATAGATTATGCCATATTTGTACATCTTGCTATGCCTTGGATGGGAACGCTTAAACAAATGCTGATATTACATGGAATAATAGCATATATAATTCTTCTGCAATTTTAGCTCAGCAATGCTGTACCGGCACGTACAAAACGTGGTTAGGATTAAGTGATGCTGTTCTTAAACTTTAATGATTTAGCAACGGATATTAATCAGTCGGTCTTTTATATACTCGCATGCATAAAAACATTATATTTTTGTAAAATTTTGTTTGTCGTTTAATCTTTTCTTTTCACATGTCTAATGTGAATTCAGTACACATGTATTTCTATTGAATTGATGAGAAAAGTTAATTATTTGTTAAAAACTCCATGCATTCAGATTTTCAAGTTAACAGCAGAATAGAAATAAAAATTTTATTTTAAATCACTATATCATTGATCCATAGTGACACAAATTTTTCACTTATATCTGTAATACATAAGAAAAGCATGAGATAAATGTGTAGAATATCGTTAATCTTTTAGATATACCTTCTTAGACAAATTCTTTTTGTTTTGTACTTTTCTGCGTTGCATGAAGTTCCCTTGCACTCTAAAAAGATCAGACGATTTACTGGTCTTATTTCGATGCGAGTACTAAATCCTTTGATGTTCATAGACTTCTGTAAGATATATCAGAAAAATATTCGAAGTATATATCGAAGTATATATTCTGTTTTCTTTATATAGAAGTACCGAATGCAAAACACAAGAGGTGATTGACTGACTTCTCCACCAGTCATTGAAGTAAGCTGGATGAAAATACATAAGACAGATAAGGTCAGCCGGACTTTTTTTAGAGTATATGATTGATTTGACTGAAATTGATAGTTTCAACAGAAGTTCTAAATTTTTAAATCAGCGACTCATTAATTTTCTTCTAATTGATCGACTATTCATTTATTCTTCGCTAAAATCTGAGTGAACGACGTCTTTAGTAACGAAGCAACATAACATTGGAATTTGCTCAGATAAAATTATGCAATAAACTGACAATACTTGTCGACAGCTTTTACTTTTCTCATTCGTCGATACAGATTTTACAGTTAAATCATGTTTTGTCTAAATAGTCGACTACTTAGTTTTTCTTAAATTGTTTTTATTTTCACATTATTCATTCATCCAGATATCAAGAAAAGTAATTAAACTTTGCTATTCAATACGGTGGACAACATTCCAATATATGCAAACTGTTCCATATTAAAACCACCGTATGTGTTTTCTGATAAAGAGATGACTCCATTAGATTCAAGAACAAATCAGCAGCAAAACAAAATTTTATTTTTCGAAATATACGCAGATATATGTATGAAAATCATAATCTATTTTCACTGCTATTTGATTATGTAACTTAGACATGGATAGATGACATGTATGAAAAACAATTGTGGAATTTCTATAATTTTACAGATGCAAGAGCGACGAAAGCTAGAGTCAAGAAGTTGTAAGTAAAACATTGATTTTATCTCAGTGGATCTTTTCTATGTTCATACAAGTTTTAATTTTTATTTCGTATAAAAGTCAATTTACTGACATAAGTTTGTTTGAAGTTGAAAATTTAGATTATTCACTGTTTAGGCACATCTATATTCTTCATTGCTGATATCCTTACCACAATTTTCACTGTCCCATTTTGTCTTAACTTTGCCACCTTTTATAACTTTATCACAACCATCTGTGGTTTAATCCTGAACCATACGAGTACATATTGCTTGACAATTGTGTATAGTTGGATCATTACATGAGCAACGTTTACACGAACTTGAACTTGATTTTATTTTACAAACAAAGCTGAGTTTACAAAGAAAGAGCTGCTGTGGAAAGCAGAAAAAGTAAAACATACTTATACACACTGCCACCTGGAGTAACAACGTCACGTGAGAGAGAGAATACACACTTATATCTATAGACTCACTCTTACAGAATAGAGTACAGAAATAAACAGAAACAGAAACAAAAACAAAAAACAAACACCCAGAAAACGCCTCAAATTTGCGAATGATATTTCAGCGTCGCTTTGACCTGGGGCCTGTTTCTCAAAACAACTTAAGTGCTGCCTGTTTCTCGAAAAAACTTAAGTTTTACTTAAGTAAATAATTTCACTTAAGTAAACAGGAAATTATACTTAAGGGTTTTTGAGAAACTCACTTAAGTAAAAATTTTACTTAAGTGGAATTTTTCGCTTAAGTAAAACTTGTTGTTTTTTGAGAAACAGAGGCCTGATCTAGAGTACGTGCTGCAACAACCGTTTCTGGTAAAGCGTTCCAATCTTCGGCAATCTGATAGAAAAAAGCTAACGCTACCCGTTTTTTTGTAAGACTCGGTTGTCGTGATTGGCTTCGTGTTTGCCCTTACGTGTTTTAAAACCGTAGTTGTATTCAGACACTCTGTTCTACGATCCGTCAATGGTGTTATAAAGGGCGGATCAAAAACTGAAAGCGGAGATAACTTGTTCATTACTTTACAGAAATGAATCAAACAAAAATATTTTCTTCTCAACAACAAATCGGGAGCTTTAGTTTTTGAATTAAATCTGACACCGATCCGTCGAGTTTTTTCAAAATCATTCTTGCGGCTAATTTCAATTGGGATTACATGTGCTAACTTCCAGAAGGAAGGATGCACACCGTTTTTGATCGAAATTGTAAACAAATGGTGGATTTAGTCAATAAGCTCAACGGCACATTCTTCCAGTAAACGCACCGTGATCCCATGTCCTGCTGCTATATCATTTCTAAGCTCACGAATAGCGTCTAATATTTCTACTTTCGTTGGCGGAACCAGGATGAACAAATCTTCTATAGCTGCTTTAGGTTTGTTGCAAGGCCCTTTTTTTGGTTCAAAGCATTTGATAAAAAAATGCATTAAAAAGATCCGCCTTTTCCTTTTCCGTACTCACTCTCTTATTTTCTAGCAATACTGTCGCTGGTAAATCATTTCCATCGTCCTTAGCCCGATTTATTCCTTTCCAGAAATCATGGGGCGACGTAAAATGGTTAGCTAGTCTCTTAAAGTATCTCTGTTTGCTTCTTCTCAATTCACTAATAGCCTTGTTCTGAACCTTCCTCTGTAAAACAGACCCTTGCAAAGATGGTTTGTCTTTGTACGTTGAAAGCCAATGTCTCTTTGTCGACGAAGAGTATAGTAATGTTTACTTGGGCGAAAAACCAACTTCTCCCGTGGTTTCCGCTCTTTTAGAGGACTCAATATCACTTTTTATAATATTTTGAAAAATGTACAAAGCATTATCACGTCATCGATCAACAGAAAGTCATCCGGCGATGCAGAGAATTGTTGTCTCATACTGTCCCAATCGCATGAATTAAAATCTCGATATTTGTTTTTTTTTTCAGCTGAAATAAAGATGTTTGGGAAATTACACAGAAGAATTCCGTGGTAGGAGTGTCCTAACGCATCAAACATTCTGACAGCTGGTGGAAGCCACTCTGATGGATAAAAAATATTATCTAAACGAGTACCTTCTATGGTAGTTGGTTCTTGTGTTGAAGGCGTTAGTTGAAACACTCAGCTACTTCACACAACTTTCTAAACAAAACTTTCTCTCCTTTTGGGTCTGAGTTAAAATCGCCCCCTCAGAATAGTCTAAGAATTTTTACCCGATACGTTTTTAACAAAAAGTTTGACAGTTTGTCAAAATATCCCGTTACCGCATCTATCCCAGGTTTTCTGCAGCTACAGCACAAAAACACAACTAATGATTTAATTTGTAAACGGACTAAAAGACATTCGATTTTCGGACAGTAAGCGATGTTTGATCTCAACTATGGAATGGAAGATGAACAATATTTGAAACAGCTTTTACATTTTCATCTTGTTGACAAATCCATTACTTTTTCGAAAGTCGAAAGTCTTTGAATATTCAGCGACTTATGAGAACATTTTTCAATTGTTAAAAATTGGCAGAACACAACCATGATGATTGTTCTCTTACGATGAACTAATTGTTATCACCTGTTACGTGTGTACTTATTGATCAAAATCAAATATGATCAATTTTATTACTTTTTCAATTGTTGACAAATCCATAATTAGTCCTTTGGACGTATTCATTCATTGAAAATTAAAATACTTTGTCTTCACCAACACATGTATGAATGTGTTAGTTGAGAGTAACTTTAATAATACAACACATTGATCATTTGTGATAATTTATTAAACATTTTTGAACGACAAAAGAATTATTGACGGATAGATTAGTGAAAGAAATTTCTTTTGTCGTACTACTCAACAAATACTTAACACAGAGCAAAAAGGAATCGCTTTTTCATATCATAATATCCTTGCGATTGTGTAAAGATAAGTCATTCAGTTAGATGACTAGAATAAGTTTCCATGATAAAATATATTAATTTTCTATTATTAAAAGAATAGTGGCAAAAATAGCAGAACAGAATATTTTAAGCCACTCATTTTTATATCTGTGACTGATACAGTATAAGATATCTTAATTATGATGAATAAAACGTTTTCGTACTGCAATTCTCGTTCTTTTTTTTCTTACGTCATCAATTTGTATATTTTTTCCAGTTAAACTAGTATAATTGCGACTCTTTTCACGGACTAACAACAAATGTCTGCTAATTTAAACCCAAAAAAAATCGTGTGTTTTTTCTCTTCTTTTCAGATATTTACCCTAAAACACAACTAAGTAACTTTTACTGTTATCCGAAAATTTGAATGGCATAACTATTCATATTTTCTGTAGCGGACCGTCTTATAACCAGATCTTGATGTGAAAACGTAAAAGGCAACAAATTTCGAGAGCTCAACATCATCAGAAATAGTCATTAATTCAAGTAGAACATTAATCTGATCAATGTTTAAATTCTAATCAAGATTTATTACACCAGACCAGTGTCTATTTGTTTTAGAACAACTTGAAATGTGTGAAAAAAAAATTTATATATACGTCTTCTGTTGCCACATGTTTCAATCGTCAGCTGTTTGAACGAAAGCCTTAATATTTGCCGGATTACTGTGGCTATATTGATAATGAGTAGTTGTTATTGGAATTTCTGCCAGATATTATTAAAATATCATGTGAAAATTGAAACAGCTTTATGTGAACAACAGACTGGCCATGTCTTGCAATTCAAAAGAACGAGCTAATGATAGAAGTATTGTGTTTTCGACCTAAAAAAAGACGATGTCAGAACAGCCGAAGCTTCACTGCAGCCATGGAAATCACAACGAATGCCAGATCGTCATTCATGTGATTTTGATACCAAGCTTTAATACTGTTCATATCCCAAATCCCCACGCAGAAGAAAACACAGACACAACCAGATGCTCAAATTTTAAAAGATGAGATCCCGTTTATCGTATCTTCTTTCTCTCAGAACTGTACATTAAAAAAAGTACATTTTATGTCTCTTTCAATTTCATTTACTGAAACCACGCTCTAGTACCTCCTAGCACATTTTTCATATTCACTCTATTGACTGAGTCATGGGTGGTTGTTGTTTGCTGAAGACTTTTAGTATAGAAATTTCTCACACTCCAAAAAAGTTTGGTTCATTACAAGAAGCAACCATAATAACATTTGGAAGCACATTCAGTAATAACAAGCATTAGTATAATGAAAATTAACTTTGAATGAACTATTAAATTTATAAAACATAAAATATATTTTTGTTATTTATAACCGTGTAAATAGTAAATCACTGGAAAATATGGTACATGCCAAAACGACTAAACTGAAGTTGAATGTTACTTATGATTACAAAAAATGAACAAGATGTATGTTTTATTAAAGAATTGTTGCTACTTGCATTTTATCTGCTGTTACTCTCACTCCTGCTCTCGATGAGCATTCTAGACAAACAAAATAATGGCTAACGAATTGCGAAGTTATCATGATAAGATATAGACACACCGTACTGAAGTCTTCTACCATCAAAATCAAAGACAAAAAAAAACAGTTAGCATTACTCTCTAGAGTCATTTAAATGAGAAGCAAAGGTTAAAAGAAAGATAAATAAAGTCGAAAAATTAAATGATGCTCCACTCTTATAAGAAACAGCTAACGTTCGAATAAGATTCAGCTAACTATCTGACAAGAGATAAGAAGTCCGTACGAAAGTGACAAAAACTTAGGAAGAGTCTTATAATTACTAGCTAAGACTATAATAAGAAATCGGTAAGAAAGTGATGAGTCTTATGAAATTCTTATCAATCAAAATCTTACCTGAATTTTTTCTTGTGCATTGAAAAGTGTTTTCTAAAGTTTCAGGAAGTTAAATTGACTCAATTGTTATAACAAAAAATTCGAATAGTCTGTGCAGGGTTCAGACATGCGTCCTACATCAACAGTACTCCTTCGAATATACGTTCTTTCCTCTAATTAACTAATAGGCCATATCTTCACAGTTTATGATGAGTTGTTTATGAGTGTTCTTCTAAAAAAAGAAAATTTCTGATTAGAACAAGGTCTTCGTAGATCCGTCCCTGTCTAGTAGTTACCGGTTATGTTGTTGGTTATGTTGTTCGGCACGTACTTCAAAAGTACCGTGTTCGAACCTCGACGCCACTCAGTCATAGAATAACCTTGGACAGGTTACTAACGGCGATTGTCTCGGATCACTCGTCCGATAGCATACTCACTACGTTGTGACATACACCAGTACTTCGGTGCTAGTATGTGGTTAGTGAGTGTGTATGGGGAGCTCGAGCAATTGGGCGAAAAGAACTCTGTGTCAGGCTGGCCTTCTGTCCAGAGCTACAGTTTGCTTCGTGACTAGTAGAAGAACGGATGACCGTCTCTGAAGATCATCAGCTGTAGGGAAGATATCGGGCTTATCGAAACTACTTCGGCAGCACCCTATACCACAATGGGTAGCACCCTGTAGCCGCAAGGTGGGGTCTTCTTCCTTTTTCCTTCCCTGTCTAGTAGAAATGTACGGTTTTTTAGTGAAGGAATTCTCTTGTGCAACTCATTTTTGTAAACAACTCAACAAATCATCCTCCAACCTTCGAATTTCTCTAGGTATATCTTTTTGCAGTTTCGGTTGTGGTAGTTAAATGTAAAGTTGTTGCACTTGAAGTATTCGTTTGATCAGAAAAAAAGGCTTGGATAAAGTTTCTATGCCAACTTCTTTGACAGTTATCATGAAGCAATTTCTGACGACGGTATTTAGATGGCATAAGAAAACTACTGAATATTTTATACAAGGTTAAAACTCGAGTAAATAAATCTAAGTAGATATGCATTAATCAAAACGTCTCTTAAATATGCCTTTATCATAATCAAATGACAGTTTATGATTTACATTAGATATAGAGAAAAATCCATTACATCTGCACATATAATGATCTATACACACGCACACACAGTACAGAGAACAGTTGTTACTTCCTGATGAATCACATAGTATAACAATCATCGTATATCGATGATTGTTTGATTTTACCGTTTGTGTTCTATAACTAAGATGATAAATAGACTCATAGACTTAGTAAAACCAATTTTACTAAGGTTATGAGTTTAACTCATAAAAAAGTGGCTGGCAGGAATACGTATTTCACCTCCAGGAAAACAGAATATAAATCAGTTTTAGATGCTCTTGCTGCTGATGATATCAACATCTTGCGATAATGTCAGAATTTTTGTACTAATGAATTTTAATTAAAAAAAAAGAGATAGCTCTTTATATCCCGATCGGAATATATATTTTTCTGAGTATAGCTCGATCGGGATATTACTGTATCTTGAATGAAATTTAGGGTACGCGTCTCTGCTGTAAGAGTAAACAGAGCCGTCTCTCGTGTCTATGACAAGCAAAGGAAACTCAGATAGGATTTACATACCCTTTTAGTGTACTCAGCTGAATTTTCAGTTATCAAGTATTTTTCGGTAATTAGACATCATTGTTCTTCTGACCGTATATACACCATTTTCATAAGTATAATGTACTTGTCGGGAAAATGTGATACATCGCCCAGAGATACTAGAATAAATCTCTCACATTTAAGTTCAAGGTTCAGACGAAAGCTTTAGCCTCTTTGTTTTTCTGCCTATACTTGATCATTCGAAAACGGTTTTTTACATTGATTTTATTCATTTTTGAAGCTAAAAAGAATTTTCCGTCTAAGGTTTGCAAATAACAAATTGTCAGAATAAAAGGACCGAGGCTTCTAATTTTTTCTGAGTTTTAAAAATTTAGGAGGGTTTTGTATTATGCCCAAAAATTTCATGTTCTGCATATAATAGAGATATTGTTTTATCTGAAAATCAACTGACGTTGCTTCGAGTTATAACGATGTATTGTGTTAATAGACTCAAACAGATATCCACCAAATGTTCACAAAAGACTTTTCACATTATTTATAGTTCAATATACCAACTGCAGTCAATAATATCATGCGTTTCTAAAATGTTTTCTTTCAAATGCAAAAAGAAAATTTTTGTACAATAATAAATAAATGACATGACTGATAATAAATTTTTTATTAGCAACGTAGAAAAGAGTAAAAAGAAAGAGGAAAAACATTTGACATAATTTTGAAACATCGGAAAATTAAAAATTGCTTTCTAAAATCGATTGTCTTACATGTATGTTGTACTACAAAGTAACGAATCTAGCTTTAAGGAAAACTACTACCTTCTACTAGCGGTTTTTCCTAAAATAAGACTAGTTGATAGTGGTGACATTCTCTCGAGCACGTGACGAATGGCGCCTACATCTTGATGTAAACGATTCACAGCTAACTGTAAATCGGTCACTCTTTCATTTAAATCAGATGATGAGGATTGAATCACGAATGATGATTGTAGCGGTGGCTGACTTTGAGATTGTTTTGACTGCTGAGTGGGTTTTCTCATGATACCGACTATTGGCGCTTCTAATATTGATGAACCTGTTGACAAACGTTTTTCTTGCAATGATTTTTCGACTAATTCACGTAGTTTTTGAATTTCTTCAAGTAAAAGTTCATTTGACTGTTGTGGAATATGAGGCGTTGATGGTATTTCATAGATGAGCGGTACGGCTGATGTTGGCGAAGCTAATTGCTCTTCTGAATGAGCGGAAGAAATGACTGAGTGTGCTATCGATGGACGTTTACTCACTGCTTGTTTTGTAGATGAAGATGGTTGATGTAAAACAGTGTCCGTTGTTCGTGTTGCTGGCTGTCCATGAATTAATTTTCCTAGTGAGGTATCAATTTCCGTTAGTTTTTGTTGTATTTGTATTCGGAATGTGTCAAATTGTTGATTTCGTTTATCAATTACTTGTTGAAAATTTTGAAACGCTTTTAGTTGTTGTTGTTCTCTAGATTGACTGTGGGCATCAAAATTTATATCTTTCCAATTTACTTGTAATGGTGCACATTGTCGATGTAACATTTCTTGAATTTGTAAACGTTTTCGTTTCGATAGACGCCATTCATAATTCAAAATAACCTCAACACGTTCAATAAGAAAACGTGCTTCAACAGTTGAAAATGCATCGGTTTGTAATGCATTACTAATCAGACCAATAAAAATGTTGATGGATAAAATAGCGGTGAATAACAAATAAGTACTACAGACAAAACTAGCAAAATATCGATCAATTTGATTAAAGTCATCGATTGGAACTAAAAATAGCACAAAAGGTGATGCTATTGTCGATTTTTAAGATATTATTCGTTTTACTTACTGTCATCGACAAGCGCAATTCTAAATATACTAAATAAAAGAGAATAAAAATTTTCAAAACCATTTGGTTGTACTATACGACACATATCGGTTGCATTTGAACACAAATCTGATGTTCCATTAAAAAAATATTGTACTTTTCCACTTTGATCTTGTCCGAATGGTATGGCATTTTCATTAATATTACATTCGAGTAAAGCTCGTTCACACACATAATTTGATTGTTCATAGTCTTGTTGCCTAATCTGCTTACTACCAAATACTGCGTAGAATACAAAAGCATAAGGAATCAATAAAAATAAAAATACGAGTAAAAAACGAATTATATCATCGAACATCATGCGAACCTAGAAAATAAAAAACATAACAAAAAATGTTCACAGATAGATAGAAAATTGTTGATTGACTATTGAAATCACTCATATTAATATGATGGTTTTTGATGAAAAAGATGGTTACTTTGATTGAAGTCTTATTAATTCAATTGATCAGAATCAATACAGGCAATAGAAGACTAGATGTGATAGGATGTGTTTCTACACTGATCCACTATTTGCTCAGTATGAGATATGTACAAGATGTCTAAATCTTGAAAGCTCAATATAAAGTGAGTTAAGCATTTTTATCTAATTGAATGAGCTAAAATGACATTCTTCTTTCTTTTTTGACTCATGCTTTCATCTTTTTAAGGCAGTAGAGATTTTTAATCAAACAAAAATTTCTCTTAATACGTTGCATACCATAATAACTAATTCTCCCAATTTAATTTCAACTATTTTTGATCTAAGCGTTTTTGCCGATATTGTAATCGTCCGAAAATAGACCATAAATCGAAACCAAATTAAAATAACCGTTACTGATGCAATGTACATATGAATACGAGCACGTAACACGGTATGACTAGATACATCAATGAAATGTGTAATAGTTGTTAATGTACAGAAAATATAGCAGATCCAATCGAATAAATTATTGAGAGAATAATAGATATAATAAGATTTAAGGCGGGTATTCAAACGAGATTTTAATCGTTGAAAATATAACATTGAACGAGAGACAACTGGTTGTGTGACTGTGACAGTTGCTGCTGTAATTCCATTTTTTATCACTCCTTTTTTTGGAGAAAATCCGCCTAAGAGAGCATTTCCCGCCTCTGTTCCTATTGGTTGAGAACCAAAACCAGCGGAAGTCGAAGATGCTAATATATTACTATCGGTTAAAATTGGTTCGGCTAACTTTGTTTGAAATAGTGTTTTTGACGGTGATCTTGATTCTGTCTGATACGTACGATGACGTTGTCGCTGATTTCTTGTTACTGGTGATGATGAATTTATTTCATTCGTTATAAGAATAGTATTATCCAATTCAACATTTTCAGCGATATTTCTCATTCCTGGTTCACCCGTTTTTATTCTTGAATTTGGATCAGCATATTGACTTTTTCCTATTTGATTTAGACGATGTTCTGTACGTTCTGTTTCCCACAATAGATAATCTCCATATCTTTGACGGGCATAGTGAATTTCAAATAATTCGTGAGTAATTTCCCATATGAGAAAACCAAGCGATGCTGCCCATAATATACATCGCCAGATATGTTTTGGAAAATGGTAGACGTAACGAACGGGAAATGGTTCGAGGAGTGAAACACAAGTCCATAAAGTTAAAAATAATAATTCCAATGACATTTTAATATAAAAATGTTTGGCAGCATAACGATCCCATTTCCATTTGATTAAACCTGAATGAAAGACACATGAAAGATAAAAAAAATTTTATTTTTTCAATAATATAAATGAATTATTACCTTTTATCAAAGGATGTGTTACTAAATCGATACGTTCATGAAAATAAATGGCTTCCAATGGTGTTATGGTACGAAATTGAGTACCGTCAGGACGAAATTTGGATGTGATGGATGGACGTGATGGAGGAAGCCCATATGAGAAAGATCCACGTTGAGCTGATAGCATTTTTGAAGACTTATCCGCTGTAGTTGGGAGAACTTTTCTCTAAAATCAGACAAAAAATTTTGTATAATTACCGGAGTTATTTCTTGATAAAATATATCAGATTCTCTTTCAAATCGATTGAAGATAATGACTTTCATTTTTTTTGTACCGATAACGACTCCTTTACATGCAACAAATGATTATAAGACGTACTTTTTTGCTACTTGCTGTAAACACTAACTGATTAATTAATCTAGATGAATCATTTAAATATATTTTATCAAATTCTTCCCTAGAAGGAAAAAAACACGATCAAAAGGTAGAATTTGTTTCATATATTGATAGGAAAAATTTTAAATCATCATTCTATACATATTATATCTTACCATGGTTCAATATGATCAAGATATAGATGTACCGATTTTTGAGCTTCGTTAATAACAACCAATGAATCCATAATATCTAACGCTATTGAACTACTCTCATCACTAAACAATAGTGCTAAAAATGTTTGCATGGAATTGTCCAATGATTTATAAATACATATATTACACTTTTCACATGGACGAACACTAATATCAGCGGATGATGATAATGATGCACCTAATTCAGAATTTATTTCTACTAGACCCGTTTGTTTACAATTAAAACAGCGACGTTTTGCTTGAGTAACACCAGTTGTTGATACACCACAATGACCGTCACGTAAAGAATGTGAGAGATTTTCATAAGATTCTTTCCATTTTGTATTAATTATTTTAATAACAGCATAATGTTTAAATTCATTTGCCAATTCCAATGGTGTTTTATTATCATTATTTTTTGTTAACATCATATTTGCCCAAAATGAAAATTTTACACGAGATAAATTTAAAAAACATGTTAAAGCATTTGGAGTATCTTCACGAGCTAAATGAATAAAAATAAGTGATGTTTTGTTTAAAAAAAAAACAAAAAAAATCTCTCTATATATTATTAATTATTTACCAGCTATATGTAATAGATTGTCACCGTAGGATAAACTACCTTCAGATAAATATGTTAATAATTCATTATCACTAATAAATGATAGAATTGTTTCTAGACAAGCTAAATTATCAAAATTTTTTCTCATATATGTATGAACAATCATATCACCATGATTCGATGATCTCACACGTATACTATTTCGATCTTTTTCAATTAATAATTGAACCATTTCATAATTACTCATTTTCATAGCTGTTTTTAAATCACTTGATTGTATACATATATTTTCTTCTTCGAGTAAGAGACGGGCAACCTCATCATGATTAGACAATATTGATATACCCAATGGTGAATGAAAATCACTGTTTAACAAATTTAAATCAGAATTTGTAGATTTAAGTAATGTACGAACCAATTCATGATTACCTTTAAAAAATAAAATATTTTATTAATTAATAATAATAATAATAATAATAATAATAGATAAGATATCTTTACCTTTCTCACACGCTAAATGTAGTAGTGTATTTCCTCTTGAATCTTTTGCATTTTCATCAGCACCATGTCGAATTAAATATTTAGCTAATGATCCATTACTATTATCAGCACATTCATGTAATGGTGTTCGTTGTTTATAATCGACAATATTTATATTTATATCAATTTTATTAATAAGAGTTGCGGCAACATTTGATTTTTCATTTGCACATGCTAAATGTAATGCTATTTTTCCCTGTTTATTTTTTGCTGTTAAATCAATCGATGTTCTCATTAATAATTTACACATTCGAACATTATCTTGTAATGCTGCTAAATGAAGAGCATTATTCCCATCTTTATTTGTAATTGTTGGATCAGCACCATGTACAAGTAAATATTGTGCAAATAATATATTATCAACCATAACAGCATCATGCAATGGTGTATATCCATCTCTATTTTGAGCATTTAATGCCAATACATTTGATTGAAATACACTATCATAAATATATTTTTCATTTAATAATTTACAATAGTGTAATGCTGTATTACCAAGTGAATCTAGTACATTTAAATTTGCTACATCTATATGTTGTAGAAAAATAGCTAATAATTTAAAATTTTTTTGTTCTAATGTTTCAAGAAATGGTGTACGTCCAAAACGATTTTGTCTATTAAAATCAACTTTTGATTGTATTAATTTTTCAATATATTTTTCATAATCAATATCTTTTTTATTTACTAGATAATGTAAAAATGTATTTCCTCTTCCATCACAAGCATTAATATCTAAATTATGTTCAATTAATATTTCAATGGCTTGTATTGTAGGAAAATCACATAGAAGTGGTGATCGTTGTAATTGTGAAAAATATCGTTTCCAATTAAAATTTACATTTGTATCAAATATTGCTTTTAGACATGAATCATGTTGATATTTAACACAAATACTAATAGGATTTTCATTTGGATTTAATCGTGTACCCTTGACAAAATCAGCATCATTTTCTAATAGAGCTTTTAAAGCATCTACATTATCTTCATAACAACTAATGTGTAAAGGAGAACAACCATCTTCATCAAATACATTTACACGAACTTTATAAGTTTTAATTAGTATACGAATTAGTACACTGTCATTTTTACGTGCAGCTATATGAATCAATTGTGTTTGACTAGGATAATCTTTAAGAATTGAAAAAAAAGAAAAAAAAAGTAAAATTAAACTAATCGATATTATTTCATTCTACATCGTTGTCTCCTTCTCAATGAACGATATTATTAACAGTTAAGAGTCAGAACTAGAGATGGGCACCAAGACCAAAAACATTTTCTGGTCCGGTAAAAGATTTGCGTGCCATTCCATTAACTTTAGTGGTAAAATATTATTTGACCACACATTGTACACAGAAATGTTTGCTCTTTCAGCCTATGGATTTTAAAGTATATCATAGGTCTTTGTTATCAACTAATGTAGCAAATATAATGACTAGAACCAGATTGGTCCCGGTCATTGTATTTGTTGATTAATCGATAACGAAGGCCTGTGATATACTTTAAAATCCATAGACTGAAAGCGCAAACATGCGTGGTCAAATAATAGTTTACCACTAAATTTAATGGAATGGTACGTAAATCTTTTACCGGGACTAGAAAAATGTTTTGATCCAGATGTCCATCTCTAGTCACAACGAATGAAAATTTTATACTATAATTAAATAACATACCAAAATGTGCTTCAGATGAGTGTACTGTAACGTCGATCATTATTTTTAAAAGATATATCACCAAATCTGTGTTTCTTGCAGCCAGTGCATAATGTGCTAAAATGAGATAAATAAATATTCTTCGTCAATTATAATTAGTAGGTTTTTTACCAGCTGTCCAACCGTAATCATTTTGTCTACTAGGATCACATCCTTTTGTAATTAAATATTGAACAATATTAATACATTCTGACGATTGTAAATCAGCACGTGCTAATAGATGTAGTGCATTATTTCCATCTTCAGTAATTGCATTTAATTGTGATCCATTTTTCTCAAATTCTTGTATAATATTCAATTGAGGTTGTGGTTCAGATAAGATATAGGACAAAAGAGCTTTATTTTGTACATGAGAATTGAAGAAGGCTTCGGGTATTTGACTACGTCCAAATAATGTTTTTTTAGCATCAGTTAATTTTGCTAATAGACCCGATTTACTTCCAGTTGTATCAATAATTTCACGTGATTGATAACGATCTGGCGTTTCATCGCCAACCGATAAACTTTGCATTGAACTTGATCGAGTGATAGATGTTTCGATCTCTTGTGGTAACAATTGATGCTGCTGACTGGATGTAATAGAACTGTCGGCTGGATGAATGGAATGCCTGAAAAAATAAAAAATTAATCATCATATTGAACTTTTGAATATGAAAATATTATAGAACTAGGCTTAGTTTATCATAATTTCGATTAAATTGAAACAACTGATTTTAAGAGTGTTCAACTAGTTTATGTACAATTTCGTACTTTTCCTTAGAAAATCAACTTAAATATCTATAATAGTCTTACATCATCAAACAATAACATTAATACATTCCATTATTGACCTTTAATTAATCCTCTATTTGAAATTCAATATAAACTTTTATTATTGCCAATCCTTTATCTTTATTGCGATCTTTAATATCATTCCTAGAGAGCAAAAGAGTCTCATACTGTGCATGTATTCTTCTCTTCTAGGGCAGAATCATTATTGTGTAATTATGTAGTAGTTGGATATATTTATATTGTTCTTTTCTTGTAGTGTAGTAAGCATATATATACATAATAATATTTGACAGTTATCTCTATTAATCAATATTTTGATGAATTACTTTCTCAATAGTATATAAATAGTAAAAAGAAAAAAATACTTCTTTTGGCTTAATCACACCACTCATTGTTTATTTCATTGATTAACTACCGCCTGGAAAGTCCCAACATTATCCACAACGAACAAAACAAATGAACTAATTATTAGTACGAGAGAGAGAATTTGACAATATAGACAAAACAGATGTGCTGTACATTCCAAAGAAGAAAAATTATTTTACTATTAGTTGGATTGAGAGAAACATAGCATGTATAATATTAGTTCACTGATTCAGTAAAAATTAATTAGTATATTGATATATGCATACATTCTCTGCTAGTTTTCTCTCAGATTAGCCCTAAATAAGGATATAATATCGACTATATTGTTCATTAAAAGTGATAGTAGTCCTTGAAAACTAAATGAAACACATTTTCAAAAGATGAGTCGAAACAGATTAGCTACCTTTTCTGCATCCAATATTTTCAAATTGTGCTCGATCGAATGTTCTTAGAATGTCGTTAGTAGTATTGCTAAATACAGAATTTACCTTTCGTTCAACGAAAAACTTTTCATCCTCTACAAGTTTTTCAAAACTTATGTGGAATAGGTGTAGAATAGTGTAATGAATCCATGATTTGACGATTATATACTTCGTCAAGTCCTTTAAAGGCACTGTGTTCAAACCGTGACACTGTCAAGTCGTGTAGTAATTTTAGGTAAGTTATTAGTGTCTGCATGACTTAGATCACTTGTCAGATATTACGACTCTAAATTGAAACGTCTATATAACGTTCAATATGAGATATAATAATAATAGTATAATTAATATAATAATAACAGTTTCTCTCGCCTACTAGAAAGTTATTACGTAGTTGGTGAGTATGTATAGAAAGTTCAAGTCAATCGACGAGTCTCTTAGAGACTGATCAGTACTCTATATCAATTAATGGCAAACGCATGGGGAAGGATTCTTTTATCTTGTGCGCGACTATTTTTTTTAGAAATCAAAAAACAAAATGCATTACTTTATTTTTAAATTCTCAACATTGACAACAGTTTTTTGTCATATCATAAAAACACCTTTTTTCAAATAAAATAAAAATTAATATTGTCGAATTGATATATTGAAAAAGATAACGTGTGAACACTTACTTTTGCTATGAATCAATTTTTGAACATATATTCCGAAAATTCAGATGAAAATCTAAACGTTTTTAAAAAAAAAGTCTACGCCTTGTCTATTTTTTGTACAGTCTACACCTTATGTACTTTTCAATAGAAAATGCGTGTTTTACGCCAATTCATCAGTATTATACTTATTGCCGTTGCACGCTTCGAATACCAATAGAAAATATTATATGCTTGCTACGCTTTAGAAATAGTTAATTTGCATAAAAAACTTTGCCTTTTCTAAATGCTGATTAGTAATTATTTTCAATTATTGATAGAAGAAAGAAAAATATCAAACCATGACAAGTGAACCAATGACTATCTACTTCTAATGTGTTTCTTTAACTGTAATGATTAATAGAATTCCACTTTCTTAGTATACTAAAAATTTTTTCAGTACTTCGAAACTCAAGACGGAATCAGTACATAACCTAAAGTGTCTACTGATATGTTCATAGGACAAATATTTAAAGATTTTGTACACCAACAGCTTATTATTTTAAAAAGTTGTCGAATCCGCTGCTCATTATCTAAGACTGATATTTCACTGTTTAAGAATTTGACCAGTTTGACCAATTTTGATCTTTCTTTAAACAATATTCATAACTACGACATCTATAACTTTAACAAGAATGAGACCAAGATGTTGGTAAAGTCAGTCATTAGATCTTAATAGAAGTTATTGCTGATAACATTTGATTCCATTCATTTCTCATTGGAATCAAAAATAGGATCAATTAATACTGACTACAGATCGTACTATCTGATAATCACTTGTAGCCGATCTTTTGCCTAGTATAAAAGCTACGTTTGAGTTAGAGTATATTTTGGTCTTACCGTCTTGTTGAAGGCGATATTTGGGCCATCTTTTATACAACAGAATAAAACGTTTCTAACTATGGAACGTGTTTAGGAACGTGTTTGTTGAACACACTTATATCTGAGAATAAAAATATATTTAGCTAGTGATAATAATCACTCTCTTAACAATTCACAAAAAATGTTGTTTTGTAAATATTTTTTGTGAAAGTTAATCAGATACAGATGACTGTAGTAAGAGAGCAGAGAGAAAACAAAAAGTCAAATATTCTAACAACATTATTTTCGATTGTTTGTTATATAGATATATTAATTTTCTCATATATTCATATATCCAGTTGTATATTTCCATCGTAAGAAAAATATGAATATAATATCTTGTTGTGAAGAAGAAAACCAGATTATAATCTGCATTATCTTGAAGATATAAATACTAATAGTCTTTCGTTCATTCTTTTCTTTTTTTCAATTCTATCAAATCGTTTGTTCCATTTTTCTCTTCTCTCTATCGATTTTAAACAATCATTTGGTTTCAATATAATTTTAGTTAAAAAAAAAACAAAAAAAACACAAATTTCTATCATTTTTATCATTACATCGAATCTCTACAAGACACAGACAAAATCGAGAAAAATTCCTTTTTTTACATCTCTTTGAATGTTATAATAGTGTATGATTATATTTATCAGTACAATACTAAAATAAAAATACAACTGCTGGTATCATGATGCATCTTCAAACGTGTGTTGTGTTTTATTAATTAACAGACAGAAATAATGGAACATTTTTCAAGTTATGTTTTTGAAAGATGAAAAAAACAAGATTAGCAAGTATCATGTCTTTGTCTGTTGTGATTTTTATCATTCATCAAAACCAGAAGACAATAATAAAAAACTAAGTATACAACACTGATTAATACAATCAGAATATCTTTAAAAATAATTATGATACTTAAATGATATAAAAAAAGTATTAATTAAGTTATTTAAATTAATCAGAATTGATACTGGCAAGATCATTAATCTATATCAAATGAGAATGTCTTACTAACCAGGGAATCTTCCTAGATGTCAAACACCGTTTTCAGTGATCTTATGCCAGTTAATAGAAGAAAGTATCCTAGTTAAAACCTTAAAAGGATTTGTCTCCATGGTACTTCTTTCAAGAGTTATAAAAAAAATTTTGTTTCTCTAGGAAAATCGGTGCTAAAAAGATCGGCCAACAATCTTATCAAACCATTACAATGATGGAATAATTGTTGATTGATTGATTGATTGATTGATTCGCATAGAGAATCAATTTCATCACCGAAACAAAAAAATTAAATAAATTGTAGGAAGCGAGGAGAGAGGAAGAGAATATATTGTCCACCATATATAACTGATTAATCAATCATAACAAAAGAAAAATGAATCGACGAAAAACCAATGAATTATTGGGAAAACATGGTTTTCCTTAAAAACAGGGAAAATTCAATAGATTATTTTCTAGAGAGGCTGAAACGTTGTTTCTTTCTATGATGTTGATCGAGTATTAGAACAATCGTAGAAAAAAATTTCAGCTCAAAATTCGTTGTTTTCGTTGTGATGCAAAAATTTTAGTGTACTTGTATCTGTTTTCCCAGAGAAACAAAAAAATTCATAACTCTTGAAAGAAGTACCATGGAAACAAGGCCTTTTAGGCCTTTAACTACTATAGGACAGTTTCCTCTATCAACTGGCATAAGATCATTGCAAATGAAATTTGACACCATATTTGACTACATGTTTTTCTTTCCGAATTGTATGGTTTTGAAAATCTAAGTCTTCATTTTTCATGCGTCTTTTATTTTTTTACAACTTGAGACGGGAAAGTTAAAAATAGAAAAAGAAAAATATGCAGTCTAAGATATCGTTCAAAATATCTATGTTTCAAATCTTCGACTCGATTGAATAAAGTTGTCAAGTGGTCCTAATGCAGCTGAATTGAAACCACTCTCATTTTGAGCATTTGCAGATAACATTGCAGATTTAGACACCTCACTTTTCTCATGGTATTTGCATCGTTCCTCAAATCACTACAAAACCATTGGGAAATTTTACAAGACGTCTCATTGTAAAGAAAACATGTTAGAGACCATGTTCTTTATTCAAATTATAAACTATAACTTTTTTCCTTTATTGTTTGAATTATAGCAGCAGTTTCGTAAAACAGAAATTATTAAGAAATGCTATATAACTTTTATCCTAGACCAATTATTTTTATAAATACTAATCGAACCCTTATACGACTCTTATCAAGCTTTTATATCCGGTTGGGCCACGATTGTGGTTAATTATTCTTATGAGATTCTTATATGATTCCTATAAATAGCTTATACGAGTTTTATAAGTGTAAACAAGAAAGCCCTAATAGATGAGGATTATCCACAACTGAATCACAGGCACACACAATATCGTTATCCTCTTTTAGCAGAAAATAAATTCCCAAACTAAGCGATTCATTCCTGATGTTACTTTTTTATTGGCAAAAATATTAAACGAAAAGAAAAGAACAATAATCATGTTGCACAGGTTTGTTTCACGTACAAAGATTGAACAAAAACGTGAAAGAAACTAATCGAATTTTATAGAGTTCGATACAGCCTTTTATCTAGATGACGAATTCCAACTTTATTTTGAATAAAAAGGCTTGGTTAATTAAAAGATATTTTTATTTTAGTTTTCCCATCGTGACAAATATGTAAAAAGGAAAGCGGACGGACAACGCCCTAGTGCAAATTCAAATTTTAAGTTGCACTATAGGGAAATTTTAAACTCTCTTAGAAGATAAAGTCACGCAAGTTATTTTAATTTTCACTGTAGAAGAAATTCAAATTTACTATCCGTCGAAAATTCACAAAATCGTAGAAACACTGAGGGTATCTTTTTATTATCATAAAAATATCAAAAGTCCTTTCTAAATATCAAAATACATACAAAAACCTCAAAGGACAACAGTCAATGTTATTCTGTAATTAATTAAATATTTTAAATGTTTGAATAAACGTTTTTTTTATTTGGGTAACATTTTGTGCCACATTTAACTCCGTTTAAGTTTCAAGGACAGTGTTTCCTTGCATACTGACATTTACATTTACATGCTTCTGCTACATCAGCACTCGTATCGATCACTACATAATCTTACAAGCTTGTATAAATGTCATTGTTGGTAATGTAGAAGAATCGACAACACATAAATCATTAAAATTACATTTAGATAAATCTAACGGATTTTGAATGTGATCCATGATACTAACAGACAGAAATGAAATAGAACGCTGAACAACTCCTTTTGATATATGTGATATATGCATCTTTTTTCTTTCTATGATTTTGTGGATTTTCAATGGATATAGTAGTAAATTTCAATTTCTTCTACAGTGGAAATCAGAATAACTTGTGTGACTTTATTTTTTAAGAGACTTTAGAATTCCGCAACTTAAAATTTAATTTCTACTAGGATGATTTAAAATGCCCCTAGATTTTAATTTTCCTTGTCACAAATATTCAATCTTCCGAATCTTATGTCCAGCGAAGTCATAAAATAGTCGAAAAAAGGCAAAAATTGTTAATTTTTGTAATGAACATAACCAGCAAACGATTCAATAAGCATAAGCTTGTGGATGAGGTTAAAACAAGAGAAGGCATACGTACACTATAAGCTATTTAGAGGAATCATACAAGAATCTCATAAGAATAATTACCACAATCGTGGCTGAACCGTATATACGAATTTGATAAGAATCATGTGAGAATTCTATTTGGCTCGGATATAAGTTATATGAGTTTTATACACCCCTGATCAGTTAAGTGTATAAGATTCGATGTCTAGGGTACCGTATCGAATAACACGTATAAAAATTAGACTCTGCTGTGTAAGCTAAAAATAGCAGCTCATCCCATGTCACATCCAAAAAAAAGTGTGTTATAAAACTGAGATTGTATTAAACGAAATGGATTATGACTCTGAATAAAAGTATTTATCATCCTTCTGAATAAATTTATTAAACCAACAAAATATCCCTAGGATCGAATAAATAAGAAAAGAGGGAGAAGAGAATAGAACAGCTGTGGATGCGCTTGACTCGGTCGGCAAAGTTAAAAGAGATATGAATACGTATCTCATAATTTTTTGAATTGTATCTCGGATGGAAAATTAGAACGCAAAATCCAAAACAATGATTTTCACACTAAATATCCTATGAGATTTTCAATTTTGTTTTGCTTGTAGTTCTGTCAAACCTGAATTGTTTCAAATGAAACTTGGCCCGTTTCATCGAGATCTATCAAACAATATGTCATACGTATGCTTTTATATCGTTTATGAACGGTTTTTAACACAATAACCTGAAGGATTATAACGCCTCACGAAACCCTCAAATATCTCGGACGCATTAGTAGTGGTAGTTAGAAAATTATTTTTCTGTTCTCCTCTCACATATTATTATAAAACTTACGAGTTGACTCTTTTTTTTTTGCTTCAAGTTGTTTTTTTTTCGTTTTTCTTCCTTAAACGGTACAATGAAATTGCAAATCGTCCGTATACACTAACTTGACAGGATTATTATTAATAAATGAGTGAATTATACACTCAGATACACACAAATGAAGCAAAAAATTTAACTTACACTTCACGCCTTTTTGAAACGATTTTTAGTTTTCGTTTAAATATTGATGCCATTGTAGATATTTAGTTAATAGATTAAATATTTAATTAAATAACCAACATATTCTACAGTAGTTGTAGTTCACCTCCAATGTAGTTAACAGGGTGGTTAAGAGTATATTTACGACGTCAACGTCGTTTTATTTCTTTATTAATATTATCAATCAAATATTTTTTTTTACCGTATAATAATCTTGTATCTAAATTATATTTCGTTTTCTTTTCGTTCATTGATATGAATAAGAAGAGGAAAAAAATGAAGACAAAACGTAAAGCGAAGGAAAAGTCAATTATATTTAAAGCCTTTTATACACAATGACGCAAGTTTTTCTCTTTTTCCTGTTCTACATGGTAGCTTGCATTATCATTGACTCCTGTTCGAGAAAAGCTAATTTACCATCTTATATTGAAATATGAGTTTATACGCTTAAACAATAGACTAAGTAGAGATTGAATTAAAAGTGTTCATAATAGTAGATATCAAAGGACTTTTTCTTATTCTTCCATCAGACGATTCTCTAATGTGCATCATCTACTCGAATATCATTAAACAGACACTGCTACTTTTGAAAATAGTCGATAGGACTAAATTTAATCACTATCTTTTGAGATAAATGATGGTAAGGTCAAAAGGTTAAGGTTTTTTTCTTAAGGTAAAAATTATAAATTATATACTTAGTTGAAGAAAATATTGATAATTATCTTGAATAATATTATCAATCTATTGTTGCTATTATTTCTTTTCTATTATTTTATATTAATTCTGTTAAAAATTGAACAAAGCACATGTCAGTTAAACTGGACAAACGCTGAGGGATTGGAACAATCATTACGAATACCCTATTTCGAATCTGAAAGCTAGAAATATTTCTTTCTTTTATTTAAGCACATACTGGCGGTCAATATTTTCCATATAATGTCAATTTTAACCAGTTGAAAAGACAATAATGTTTCAACAATGAAGTATTATGAAAAGTTTTCAAGGACACCTATAATAAAAGTCTTCATAGTCTTGGCGGCATATATATCGAAGAAGTAGGCGAGAGGCTTTAGAAAATTAAATCTTATCGAAAAACACGAGGCTAAAGTTGTACAAAACGCAAAAATCTCCACTGACGTTCGAAGTTTTCTATCTTTATCTACAAGCCATCCAAATTCGAAAAGAAAGAAAGAGAAAGTTAATAAAAGAGTAATTTAAACATTCGTTCTAGCATATTGAACAAAGACGTCTATAAACTGCTACTTTTCCCGTAATCCTGGGAGGAATGACATCCTCATAGATGATCATAGGCTTAGGAAATCTCCTAATGTTATTGAAGCATTAGGATCGGTTGTGATTATAGTCATCGTTTTTTACATTATCGGAAATAATTCAATACACTGCGGTTTCCAGAATACAAAGTTAAACAGACAAGTAAGATATTTGGATATTCCGCGCTCTTTCAAACCACCTAAAATACGAGATGCTTTCAAAGTACAAAAAAGGTATTTAGTGACATATAGCCGATTTAAAATTCTATATCAAAAAATTTTCTATTTAGATTCATGGCTTACACATTGCATGAAAAACCTGGAAGCATTCTAATTTATTTATTTCGTTCTTTGAGACACAATTTCTACTTGCGCTCTCTCGTTTATAGCTAATTTCAGACGATTTGAAAAAAGAATAAATAAAATCGTCAAGGAGATGATAATCTAAGATTAAGTTTTTCATTCTATTTACAGTAAAATGCATGATATTCAAGAACCATAGTAGATAGAGCTATCGACCTTGAGTAGCTTTGTTGAGAACATTCTAGTCCATCTCTGGCATATTTAAGCATTAGAAGTTAGTACTACAACTTATGAAAAAGCGGACATCAGATACACCACCTGCAAGTATTTCTCTCTAAATAAAAGTAGAATGAAATCGACGTCGAATTCATAGCCCAATAAGTTGTACAATTTTTTGCGAGGATCGACCGAAGAGAAGCTCAAACTTACCTTTTACTTGTGAAAGAAAAATGTAGAGTAACAGATTGAAGTACTCGTGAATGTAGCCTTGTGCAGCTTAAGTCAAGGGTCCGGCTATCCCCATACTGTAGAGTTCGATGAGCTCTATCTATTTTGATACTAACTAGAAAAACATGGCAATGTTTGAGATAAGTGAGCTGCAACATTTCAATTTTTTTCACTTAATCGATTGCGGTTCAATACCTTCGATAGCTATCGGACTAATTCTTTCGCGATTTTACTCAGCTTTCTTATCGCTTCATTTTCAGCTACGATAATCTAGGGTTTTATTTTGTTTCGAGCGAAAGATCCTATGGACACCCATAAAACTTTCGTCCTATGGAAAATCATTTTTACATGTTTTTTGAAAAACAAGCCGAATGTTTTACGGCTAATTTTTTATACTTTACACGATGTACATATTGAAATCTTCTTGGCTGTGAGGTTTGTATAAAGTGGTCGGAGTTGTATAGAAGTACCATACATTCATCTGAAATATCCCATCATTGCAGTAACTTGCTCCGCTTCACTTAAAACCGATCTAGTTCTCGTCGAGTTACTCAAGAAAATGTCTCTTTTTTGACTTCATAGCTGGTACAGAAATCGAGAAAGTTGACGTTTACACTTCTAGCAATATTATCGGATTCGGCGCCACGCTCAACATGAGTTAATGAGCGCTACGACTAATTTTACAACGCGTTGTCCAGTTTTTTAGCAAAGCTCTTAAAGTTTTTATATTGGAAGTGGTCTTCCAACGAAGGATTGTCTTCTATTATGGAAAAGGATTTAGTTTGAATAACATTACTACTAAGAAATCAAAATGAGGTGAGTATTCTTAATCGTGATCTTATATGAATCACTAGTATCACAATCAAATATGTTCCATTTATGAAAAGAGTAGAGAGCAACTAGTAAACGATATATTAATTTACTATCATTAAAGACCTATTTATTACAAATGCACATAGCTAATGAAAGTAAACAGTTCAGACTACACTTTGATATACACAACTCCACAACATATTTTCGAAAAACATTGTGTTTTTGAGAGGCGATCTCCTTTAAGATAATGTAAAGTTCAATATAAAAGTTAATATACTTTGATTGAAAAAATAAATAAGTTTAAGGTTATTATATTTCGAGAAGAAGAAAACGTCACCTTTTCACAATGAAGAATCGTTTCTTCTTTTAGTCTAAAAACAAAAAGGTAGTCTAGATAGGTTGATTATTCATATTCTTTCTTTTCTTATTGGTGATCTTATTTTTATTGCATTTCAAATACAAAAAAAGGAAATCATACGTTATTTTTGTCTAAACTTAAAAATAACAATCGAAAATAACGTGATCTCCAAAGAAGTAGATATAAACTGGCCACACAATATAAAAAAAACAACTCGTTTGCCAAGAAGGTAATAAATTGATTAGACATCATAACTGAAAATCATTCCCGTTTGATGTAAAGAAAATGTTTGATAATTGAACTTTTAATAAAAAATCAAAAAGTCAAAATTATCGAGAAGATTATCACCTGATTACAATAAACAATTTTCTACATTTTAATAAAAATAAAATATCAATCTGTTGTTTTCTCTTTCTGAGCAATATAGTAAGCATTTCTTTCTACCCTGTCCAGACTACACTACTGTTCGTACAAAATTATTTGATACATTACATGAGTGTGATCCTGATCTGAGTATAGATATGAATATCCTTCTCCTAATCTTCTCCTTCTCATCCTTTCGACTTTGAGCAATATGTAAAAGTTTATAAAGCAATAACTATCTATATATGTGAAACTAAACGTTTTGTGACAAACTAAACAAGTTTTTTTTTATGCTACACCTTGTTCATTTTTTCAATGTGTGTCTTATATTTTACTGAAGTTCCAAGTGTTTTTCTACTCGTAAAACTTTCTGTAATTCGAAAACAACCAGTTTGTCTATTTATTTTACTGTTTACTAACTAATTTACTGACTTATTCATTCAATTTTTGATGCTGTCTTCTTTGTATATCGCAGACCTCGTGTCTACTATATAATGGCAATGCCGAATTAGTAATACTAAAGCTCTATACTTTATATTTTTCAAATAAAATAGCTTAAACCAAAAAAAAATATCAATCTGTCGTTTTCTCTTTCTGCGCAATATAGTGAATATGAATGAGAGCCATGCTATACCTAAGAAATTATTTCAGTTAAAAAAGATAATTTATACAAATAACTGTAATACTTACCAATGAAAGAAGGAGAATTACACCATCGAATTGTTATTATCGATTTTTTAGATTATTTTATAAAAACGTCAAAAATGATCACTCGAACATTGAGTGTAGTTGATTATATTTTGCTTTCTATTTTACTATTGTCATCAGCTGTTATTGGTATTTTATTTGGATTTGTAAAGTCGAAGAAAAGTTCAGCTAAAGAATTTTTACTAGGTAGGTAAGGTAATTTTGCTATTTTCTATGTTATACACTAAAATAGTTCATTCTTTTTCACTATTTTAGCGGATGGCGGTATGGGGGTACGCATATATTAAAGTTTGATGTAATGCATCCTATTAAATGAATTCTTTATTCTTCCATGGACTTAGGTTATTCCAACGGCTCTAAGTATTTGTGTGTCATTTTTGTCAGCTATAACATTATTAGGTACACCCTCTGAAGTGTATCTCTATGGAACAATGTACGTTTATCAAGGTAGAAATCATAACTCGCTTATAAAATTTCATATCCTAGAAGTTATTTAATGTTTATAGCAATCTCATGGTCGTTAGCGAGTCTAGCAACAGCAACAATCTTCATGCCTAAATTTCGTGAGATGAATTTTACTAGTGCTTATGAAGTAATTTTAAGATACATATTAAAACATCATAAGCGATCAGCTAATCTAAAATTTTTTCAGTATTTAGAAAAAAGATTTGATAATTCTGTTAGACAAGCAGCATCATTGGCATTTTCAGTATTTATGGTAAGGGTCACTCTATAAGGAAGTTTCAAACTAGATTCTGGTGAACTAGTCTTTCGTCAGGTATTCAGGTATTGTATTTGGATAACTCCAAAACTTCGATGAAACTACATCCAGTACTTGCTTGCTTTGTGCGCAATAGTCATAAAAACAGATGTAATCTATGATGTTTATTCTGAATGGCCATCGTCATTGTCCATCGGCCGTGGACTATCGGTTTTCTAGAAAGTGGTCCCTCAAAAATCAGAATTTTTCTCAATTTTATATCTAATCAACCAATAGAGCTCATCGAATTATCCAAATGTATACATTTTACGATCAATTTTTATCTCGTAAAAAGCCTATTCGGCATACTTACTTAGCTCGATCTGCTCTATCAACTGATCTTATAAAAAATTGCGTTTTTGAAGAAAAACTCTGATTTTTGAGAGACCACTTTCTAGAAAACTGGTAGTTTATAGTCTATGGACAATGTTGATGATCATATTCAGAATAAACATTATAGATTACATCTGTTTCCATGACTATTATCTTTATTTTTCGCTTCAGTTGATCTACATGGCGATAGTATTGTATGCCCCGGCATTAGCACTTAGTCAAAGTAATTAATTTTGAATAGTATACTAATAAACAAGTATACACAAAATACACGATAATACTACATATACGATAAAATACTTTTTAGCAACCGGGCTAAACATATGGTTATCAGTTGTTTCGATTGGAGTTATTTGTACATTTTATTCATCAGTGGTGAGTTTCTAAAGAAAGTGATAGCTTCAGAACTGAATTATGATGAATATTCAGGGAGGTATGAAGGCAGTCATTTGGACTGATGTGATTCAAGCAATTGTCATTTTAATTGGTCTTTTGGCAGCGATAATTCAAGGTATAATATTTCAGAAAACAAGTTTTATCAATGATTTATCGTTTTTACTTCGTGGAAAGGACTGATATCATTAGGAGGATTCAAAAGAACATTCGACATTGCTTCAAAAGGGGGACGAATTCAATTTGACAGGTAAATGTTTTCATTATTCATGATGATTTTTTTAATTTAACTATTATCATGTAATTTTAGTGTTAGTTTTGATCCTCGAACACGACATACCATTTGGAGTTTACTTATTGGTGGTACATTTAATTCACTGTCTACTTATGGTTTTAATCAAACTCAAGTTCAGCGTTACATGTGTGTTAATTCAACGAGAGGTGCCAAGCAAGCGCTAGCTATTAATGCTGTTGGAGCCGCTTTGGTCATAGCGATGTCCTGTTTGATCGGAGTTATATTGTACGCTTATTATGCAACATGTGATCCTTATACGGCTAAATATGTTCGTGATATCGATCAAATATTTCCCTACTTTGTCATGGAAGTACTGAGCGATAAAAAGGGTTTACCTGGTGTATTTTTGGCTTGTATATTCTCTGGCTCCTTGTCAACCGTTTCATCTGGTTTGAATAGTTTATCGGCTGTTATTATTGAAGATGTTTGGAAAGGATTATTTAAAAGAAAATTAACCGATGAACGACAAGGTTTTGTATCAAAAATATTCTCCGTTTTTTTGGGCGCTGTTGTCATGTTATTAACATTGGTTGTCTCATATTTGGGTAGTATATTGAATGCAGCTTTATCTTTATTTGGAGTATTATCTGGACCAGTAATGGGTGTTTTCTTTTTGGGCTTCTTCTTTCCGATGGCTAATCGACACGGTGGAATTATCGGATTTGTAGTATGTCTCGCAATTCAACTGTGGATTTTTTTTGGTGCTCAAATTTACAAAGGGCAAATGACAAGTGAAAGATTACCACTATCGATAGCAAATTGTCCAATACAAATCGGAAATTATACTAACATAACAAATTATTATTCATCATTATCATTCACTTTACAAACAGAATCTTTTTCTACAACAGCTAAATCAATAGTTTTAAGGTAAATAAAACATTCGCCGATATGAAAGGAGATTTAATAATATGAAAGAATTCAACTGAACGATGATTTTGCCTCTACTAGAATTAAAAATCAAATTGTGTGTGTACTACTGAAAAACTAATACTCTCTCTGTTTTCTTTATTGTAGAAAAAATGCATTATTACCATTTTATTCAATTAGTTATATGTGGTATGCTCCGATAGCTGTTATAGTTACATGTACTGTTGGTGTTATTGTTAGTTATATAACAGGACCATTGAAACCGAATGAGATCGATCCTAAATTAATTATTCCAATATTTGATAAAATATGCTGTTGTTTACCAAAGAATATTAGGAAAAAATTACATTTTGGTACTGATTATTATACATACCAAAATAAAGTAAGAAAGAAATTTTTTCATTTTGTATTAGATGTCAGAAGAATTTCTTTTTATTAATCTAAAAATTAATGAAGTATTCGCACAAACATAAAAATCTAGTATAAGTTAAAAATGTTTAATTCGATTAATTGTATTTTTAAATTATAAAACAGAATAATGATTAATTGTTTCTGTTTTTAGGATTTAGAATTGAAAGTCGACGATGCCACCTATCATACATTTCATACAAGTGCAAGTGCAGCAACATTGACTGACACAAATTTAAACTATTCTAAAACAAATATAATCACACCCCTCAAACAGAAATCAGATCAAACTTTGAATAAAATTATTTCTTCTCAAGATAATACAGTACCAGTACCATTAACATTTACAGCCGTTAATAACATTGACGATACATCTAATGATCAAGTAACTCGAATGTAATTGACATGATCATATTTTAGAATATTATCGCAGAAAAATAACTTCACATTATTTTTTGGAACATATTTGTAGTATAGTAGTTTAATATGAAAAACAAAAATTTCGTGCATTTATAGTTAGTTATTTGAGTAATGAAAACTCGCAGAAGAATGCACTTTAATTTTCGGTAAATGCATGTACTATATTTCTATAAAAGTTGACGCGATGCTAAAAATATCATCAGTATCCAGTTGTTAATTATCCTTGTAAATTATAATTTCGTAAATCATAATAGATAGCTACCAAAGGATAATATACTTTGAATTTCTAAAGCTTGGGGTAATTAGTGATACTCTTGTCAAATATTGAACACAAATGTTACCGTCAGACATAATGGCGTAATTAACCATAAAGTTCTTAAATGAAAATAGCTTATATCAACCATAAAACTTCTCATTTTTAGCTTTCGTAATTTATTAATTGTGTTTAACTCTTTGATTACGGAGCTCATATATATGTATATGTTGTGCTTTTGCTCAAATTATGACTGTTATGACCTTCCCTCTTGATCAGATTATAAGAATGTTCTCTTTCTCTCATGTTGCCAATATCATAGCGTCATCGTGTAGCATCTCCAGGTATCTAGACATCTGTTTGAGGTTTTTTTGAAAAACTCAAATTTTTTATCATTTTTCCAGCAAAAAACCGTAACTAAAGAGTTAAACAAGAAAATATATTATGAGCACGACAAGAAATAAAATAGAAATTGTATATTCGTCATAAAACATCCAGTTGCTCTGAAAATTAGAGTCTTATTGGACAAACCTTTCTTTTTTGTCTCAAGTCCATCTATCTCGTGCGAGAAAAAATAACGGTCATTAATGTTATCTAACAGTTGTTTTAAATTCTGACAGTTGCAGATCCATAAGTAATTTTTTTGTATCTACAAAGCGTATTTTAGATGTTGCGTCCATCATAGATACATTTATGAATGTTGCACAGATCAGTTATTTTAACCAACAGGCTATTAAGCAATGTATAGTCTCCACTATAAGTTTCAAGTGTTCACATCTACAAGTTAGAGAATTCTGGCCCATTTAAGGTGATTTGTTATTGATAGACAACGTAGTTTATAGATGAAGATGATCGTTTCATCCTGAGTAGAGATCTTCATTAGCAATTATTACTGGCATAATGTCGTCGTTAAAAGTACCTTATACTAATGAAAAAAGTACGATTAATATCTGTTTTCTGAAAAATGATGTGCGCGCTTTTTCCATATCTCTTTGTCAAGATACGAGAAAACCCAATGAAACCAAGATTTTTTCGTTGCCAGTGCTAAATAACTTGACACTTGCTGGATGTTTGGATATTAATTAAACATATATTCATGTAAAATCTCGACTCGGTAAAAGTACTTTCTGTGTATGTTATGGTAGATATACTTTTATTCTGTGCCATAATCCTACGTATAAGATATCGCAAATTTTTCCTTACGTAATAAAATAGATTGAATGGAAAGTGAAAGAGTCTTTTTTGAGATAATTTCACATTTTCTGGGCAATTATCGAAATGTTAAATGTGGTTGGTGGTGATCGAACAATTTTATTATGCTTTCATTCACTCTTTGACATGTTTTTCTTTTTATTCAGAACCCGTTTGTCCGACAGATCGGAACTACTCAGAAGACTCTACGGAAGATACGCAAGACTTCAATTCCTCATATTAAAGAATGTTGCTGAAAAACTGGAATAGTTTAATAAACAAGTGACTAGATGTGGTCCTAGAGTCTTTATCATGGGAAAAGTATTTTAGAGCGAAGAAAAATGCTTGTACCGTCGGTTTACCGCTATTGTGAGAAAATCCGATAGTGCTGATTTAATTACAACTGCCAGTGATTGAGTTTTTGAATCTTACAATGGGTTTCGTCTGAATAAAATTTTGAATATTCACTCTTCAACATGAAAGTGATTTCTTGTCATTTGATATAGTTTATGAGATTCTTGATTTTAAGAAATAATAATCTCGTCGGTAAAACATCAAGTTTATAATATCGATCTAGTATGATGTTACTGTTAACTGTGATGTTAGCAGTTTTGAAATCAATAATCTATCGAATTATATCATTTGACTTGTATTTTCGACGATGATCATGCATATAAAAATAGAAGCTGGACCATCAAATCATTACGTTTACTATAACAATACGTATATATGATCTAGTATGACATGTCGAATGAGTTTGGAAATATATGTTTTTTGTAAATAACTATTCTTGTTGATTTTTCAGTTAAAATTTTTACGTTTCTTTGTTTTTGATTTTGATTAAAGTGTAAAACAAGACAAGACAAATGCATTGGATTTTGTTTTTCACCCTACACTGGAAACGGGTCTAACTTACTTACTTACTTACTTACTTACTTACTAAAACAAGACAAGTGAGTTATATAGCGTGTTAGTCTTTGATGAGGTTGTATGAATACCAAAAAACATAAATCGTCTTGTTTTGCATAATTTGAATGTAAGTAAAATTTGAAGGTTGAAGGTTTTGAATAATCACATTTTTTCTTTGTGGTATAATGTCATCTGACTTTGTTATCCAAATATCGGGTGAAGGCTGTCATATTACAAAAATTTTATCTTGTAATCTCTTTATATTCTCAAATAATAAATTCAATTTCGAATAATGATGCATCAGTGACTTATGTAACACGTGTAATGTTCGTTCACCGTCTTTTTGAGCATAGATAATGGACAATCTTTTTTTTGCTCTTATCACTTCTATTAACTAAGAAAATAGAGGAGAATTACCGACTCTGACATATCCATTACTTGGATATGTCAGTGAGTGAAAAAGAATTTGAAATCATTTAATGCTTGTTTACAAAATGAGCTTAATTATTTTATATTGATTTAATTCTTGAATATTGTATGTCAGATTGACTCTTAAGCGGAGAATTTAATAAAGAAAAAAAACAATCATATTTTATTACTCAAGTGGTTAATGACAATGATTATTAGAGCGTTCTAGACGTTTCTCTAAGCAAATCTCTGTCTTAATCTATATTATTATGGAAGCTGATTTTAGTTAAACCTAATTATTTCAGTTTTTCCACAAATGTCGGAAAGTAATACGTTGATCTACAAACATTTCTAATTAGACTGATAATATTCTAGAGAAATAAACTACATCATTCAACGATCGATTTATATTTGAAATATCAAATAAACATGCAGGTCAGACAGTAGATGTACTTTGTTCTTAAAATAAATTTTATATTATTTATTACACGAAATTATTGACAGTTACTCATGCACTGTTACGGATAAGTAAATTGCTGAAGGAAAAAATATTTGATGAAAGATTTTTCTTCATTAAATGTTACTTTGTTATTTGATCAAATATTCAGTTTTTCGTCAACATTTGATTATCTAATTGATTGGATTCTTGTTATTATCGATCTTAAATGTTAATCAGTCATCTTATAATGTGAGAGAGGATTACCTTTGCAATACTAAAACGAACAAATTATGAACAGTATCATTTTCATAGGTTTAATCAGTCTCATAATATATATTATGTTTTACAAAAAAATCATTGTCCGAGTAAAAGATAGACTATGCAGCAATCACCAGAGTAAGTGGTGTCCTCTCAATTCGTCCCTAAGTGGCTTTGCAAGATCAGATAATGTCAGAGGTGACAGCAGAAGTAAGAGTGAGCAATTAGGGACGAATGGAGAATAGATCGAGTAAATAACGGACTAAGTTTGCTGAAATCATCATAGTTCATTCAATTCTGTTAAATCTAATACAGCATTTCTTAACGTCTATTTATTCATCATTTGTCATTCTATATCTCTTTCACTTCATTTCATTTTCAAAACACCGTTAGTAGAAATTATTTTGCATGTTTTTTTTGACTAACTTATCTTTTATGCTAATTTTTCCTTGCATCTATTTAATTTAATGAAATTAGTGCTTTATAGCGCTATTACTTCTCAAAAATTTGGTCAATTTTCATAAAACACATTTAGCTTCAAGATCTTGAAGACTCTTCACTTTGCCATGGTAAAAGAACGAGTAAGAAAACCACTATTCTTGTATCATCGAGATTAGTACGATGAGTAGTTAACTATAGTGATTGTTACGGAGTGAACATTTGTTTCCTAAAATCTATGACTTACGAGGGAAGTAGCCCAACTGATAAATCGCTTTTTGAACAAAATCTAGTGGACTATAGGTAGTCGACGATGCTGATTCCGAATATCACCATAACTGCTACTGCTAGGCCTTCAAAGACCGGTTTTTTGGAAAACCAGTTAGTCTAAAGAACAACTAAAAGCTTTCTTAATGAGGCATAACTATAGTCCATAAATTTCTGATTAAAACGAGGCATCTCCCACCTCTACATGACCGTTCTTTGCAAAGTTATAGAATTTACAAGAACAAGCCCTAAATTCATTTTTCGTTTTTCTTTCTGTAGCTCTGAGATGACAATGAACATTTAGGGCTTGTTCTTGTAAATTCTATAACTTTGCAAAGAATGGTCATGTAGAGGTGGGAGATGCCTCGTTTTAATCAGAAATTTATGGACTACAATTACGCCTCATTAAGAAAGCTTTTAGTTGTTCTTTAGACTAACTGGTTTTTCAGAAAGCCGGTCTTTGAAGGCCTAGCAGCAGCCGTCGTGGTGATATTCGGAATCAGCATCGTCGACTACCTATAGTCCACTAGGTTTCGTTCAAAAAGCGATTTATCAATTGGGGTACTTCCCTCGTTAGACGTCTGACATTTTACATAGCTCTCTCATCTTGACTGAGGCTTTCGTATGAAAATTAGCCTTATACTCTTTGCGACTTCTGTACGCAATCTAAACGTGGCGCACTCGTGTTTTTAGCCATAGTGTATAACAACATATATACATATATTTTAAAGGATTTCTATAAAACGTTTTTTTGTACAAAAAAGATGTATCATATTTTGTTTAGTTTGTCAAAAATTTGTTTCCAGAAACCATGCACGGTTATCAGTAATATAAATCGTAAACCAATATATTAATTAAATTGAACTAATGTTTGTTCATTAAACTTGTCTTATTTGTAGCTTATAAATGATTTTTGATCGATCACAATTCTCAGACAAGTTCTATATGTAATCTTTGTTTGTATCACACACATACGACGTTCTATGATATTATTTTAAAATGAAAGAATTAAAGAAAGTAAACCGTTATCACTTTTGTTTGAATATATCTCTATATACGATTGAATACTCTACATACTAATGAACGAAGAAAAGAAGGATATATATATATACAAACATATTGCGAAATATTTGCTAATTTAGAATATTGTCCTAAAATGGTTCAATCCTATTACATTTGAATGTGTATGTGTGTATGATATAAAAAACAGATGGATAATTTGAACATTATTTAGCTTTTGATGCTTGATTCCCGATGGGTTTTTTGTTACAAAAACAGATATAAACGCAGACATAATCATAATACTCATGAGCTTCTGACGCACAACTAATCAATACAGGTTTGGTATTTCGGTGATTATGAAAAGGACAATACCAGTTTCAGTCGTTGTAACTATACAGCAGAGTTGGAACTTGTTTATTTTTACTCAATAGGGCTGGACTAGCCGGTTAAAAACACGCCTAAACCGGTGAAAAACCGATCGGTTTCAAAAAACTTTTTAACCGGTAGAAAATCGGCAATGTATTTCACAAAAATGTAGCTGGAAACTCACTTTTCTTGAAGCAGAGTCGAACAGAAACAACTCACAGAAACCAATTCTTAGAATGTAGCACGAAAAGATTTTTCCCGAGCTGAAAAACGATATTTCTTGAACAACTTTCATGGTAAATCAGTGATATTTTCTTCGGCCTCAACCGGTAAAAAACCGGTATCAATCGGACCCGATCCAGTCCCAACTCTGCTGTACAGTATTGTAATTTCGCTCTACTCTGCAATTTTAGGAGCTCATATACTACTGGACGTGATGTTGTCATCCGCATACTCCGTACATTGTATTTAAATTATTATGCCGTCTTTCTCAAATTGTTTTCCAATCTTTAAGTTAGAGTTTTCAAAAAGGAAAATCTGACATTGCTAACTCAAGTTTCCTGACATGAATAATATCAGTTTTGTATAAAACTATTCTATAAACAATAGAAAATTCTCAAATTTTTTAAGGAATAGACCTGTTTGTTGTACCAATCGATTTTTATAGTAAGTTCATTAAACTCAAATAAGTTTTTATTTTTTACTTCTTACTCTAAAACTGGTTTAATATTCACATTTTTTTTTCTCTCTTCTTTCGATTCTTACATCATATGCCGTGTCAAGCTATAAATAGATCATCCTTGTGAATTATAGATAAATTTTCTTTCCGGTTAAACCGAATATGACATTGATGACGCTTCAAGTTAATGTGAGCTGTAAATCAATTTCATTTGAATGTCAAGATTTTTTTTTTTTCTATAAGAAGACAACCTTGATCTAGTTGTTGGAGTCCTATATCCATTATATACATAATTTTGCATCTGTTTATATTCAATAATTCATTAACATCTGACATAGTTTGTTAAGTGCTAAACACACACGTACACGTATAGGAAAAAAAGAAAAAAAAAAAACAACCTAGTAACTTTTTTTACAAGATCACATCCGAAATTTTTCGGATAAGTGATTATGGCATTTTTGAATTCTATTCACGGTCAAAAATGAGAAAAAAAAGAGAAAATTTTACTACAACAAAAAAGAAAAAAAAAAAGAATGAACAAAAATGAGAAATACAAAAAAGTAGATATTGTAAGATATTTTTAAAATAACCAACGGAGAGACAGATTCACACTGAGTAAACAAATTTCACTTTCTAAACTTTAAAACGATTAGAGAACAAATTTTTTCTAGAGACAACAGAAACAATAAAAAGATAATCGACATATCGAAACGCTTTATCAAAGAATATAAAATTGATCAAGTAGTCGTGTCAATAGGAAAAGGATATCTATCATTCTTTTTGACTAAGTAGTATGACAATTCGTATATAATAAACAAGTTTAAGAGTTACTATTATTATTAGTTGTATTATATATTTGATATCTTAGTTGAGAATTTTCTTCTTTTAACTGAACATTTTCAACGCGTAATTTTAAATTTTCTTGTTCAAGCCATGCAGCTCTACAATAAAAATAAATTCATATTTAAAATTAGAAATAACAACACTTTTCAGTCTTATTTTTGATTAAAGATTTTTCTTTTCTCACATAAACAAGAAACGTTTTCAGCTTTTTTCTCAAAATGATATTCAAACTATTAAACTCCTTTTTAAATCTGTTAAAATATCAACACTAGTTTTATTATTATTTCATGAATACTCAATCATCAACACTAGTTACCAATTAGTCTTAGAATAAAAAAGAAATTATTGTTTACCTAATTGCAATTTCATCTTCTTTAGCTCTAGAAAAAAAAGAAAAAAAAGAAAGATAAATAATAGTCATTTCCTATTAAGATAAACTGTTATTTTAACAATTAAATACCTTCTTGCATCTCGACTTCGTTTAGCTGCTTCATTATTTTTTCGTCGTCGTTCTCGATAAGTATCGTCTTTAGACATATCACTATATGAATCGAGGTTAATACGGGTACTTTGTATTTGTTCTTGAAGTGGCTCTTGTGATGTTTGTGATCGATAACGTTTTTTTGGTGGTTGTACAATTTGCATAGTAGATGATGTTGTAACAAGATTAGAAATTAAATTTAATTCTTTTTGTTTTGTTGGAGAATCGGGTGTGACTGTTAAACGTTGTGTTATTCTTTCTTGAGCATGTTGAATACGTTTACGAAATTGTTGACTAAAATCATCGATGGATGATGGAAGAACATTTAAAAGATTTTCCGACGTGATATTGTTACCCAATTGAATTAAAGGTGAATAAAATCCAATTGGTAAAGATAGAGGATCTTTTGGATCTAAAATAGTTGAAAAAATTAGAGAAGAAAATTGTTAAAGTTTATTGGAGCAAGCTCGGAAAGTAGGGAGATTAAAAACTTAAATGTAATACAGAAGTATTTTTTAATTAATCATGTACAAACAAAAACTTACATGCTTTAAATGGTCGTGTTGATTTTCCATTTTTATTTGTTACCATAAATGGATATGTGGAAGATACATTTGTTTTTGTCGATGAATCGACACTGTTCACTGATGATAAGGGTGATAAACTTTCATCTGTTGTTAATTCCGCCGAATAATGTGATTCATTTTGTTTTGTTTTTGAAAAATCAATTGGATATTCATCTGTTGGAGGAGTAAAGTTAGTACAAAATTTCTGAATTAAAGATTGAAGATCAATTTGTTGTTGCTGTTTATGTTTTTGTTGTAGAATGTCGGTTATATATTTTAGCAAAATATCACGTTGTACTGGTTGAAGTAATGATATCGATGAAAAATCGGTAAAAGATTCTATTGATTTTGGAGTTTGTGGATAATTTTCATCGTTCGATGCTGTTGATGATAAGGAAGAGGGAGGTGAATGTTGTTGATTTCGATCTTCATATTCTACTTTTTCAACAGCATCAGCTAGTAGTTGAAGTCGTTGTTGATCGAATGGTGCATTAAATTTCTCAGGTACAGATTTAACACTATCATTGATGAGATGAACACCATTTGGTAGAATCTTTTAAAGAGAAACAAAAAGTAAATTTAAATCAGTATGAATATCCTATGGGAGACGATAGTTGGTTTTTAATATTAAAAAAAATTCATAGAAAAACAATAAAAGAATAAAATACCTTGTTTTTATACACTAAACTGTACATAATGCATCATCCCGCATACACGTCTATATCACTCAAAATGAACGTAGTATGTATAGTGAATTGTATCTTTTCAAATTTTACAACTAAGTATTGCATATTGAATAATTTGTCTTGAACTTCATACTTATCATAGGAGTGATATAAAATATGGTGAGACATACGAAGCAAAGTAAAAAGAACGGGATATATGTACATAAATTTTATGTATTTATAATGTTTCTAACTTTTTTTTGTAGAATAACATATTCAGATGTAAAAAAAATAGAAAGTGGAAAAATCAATGTATACTGATCATTATCCAAGAACGGTGTATTACACATACACAGACCATCTATCATAGACAATAGCGACTCTTACTAAAGAATAAAAAGTATAATTAGACTGTGTGCTGCTGTTACTACTATTATTTCCGAAAATGAAAAACATATAAATAATTATTGAAGTCCAGAAATTCTGATGTCATATGAATGAGAGAGAATAGAAGTCATGAATAGTTGTATGCCATCTCAGTTTAACATAGGACTGAAACTGAAATTTGTTGTAGACAGTATCGCAAACAAGTGGCTAAGGATTTCCAATGTTTCAGATATTTTTACATATCATGAGAAAGATATAAAGATCATTTGTACATTCATTTTATACAATGTATTCTGATTTAATCATGTGCAAACTGATGAAAGTATTGCAATGCCGAAATATTATATCCATAACTTAACTACTTACTTTCATCCTAGCAATTATTATCCTTCTTTTCTCATTATATTTCAAATAATTTTAAAAAACAACTGGACATTTTCTTTCGTTTCCCATGATGTTATCTAATTTATTTAAATTGAGTTTTCCTCTTTTTTTTTCGCTCCCTCTCTCTCTCTCTCTCTCTCTAATAAAACACTAGCTGATTCATATCAAGTAACGATCAATATTGCACGTCTGATCAACAAAAAAAAAATTCAAATATTTGCTTATATCGTTCTTTCTCTCAATTTCGGTTTTGATCAATTGAAATGATTATTCTTTCATAAGAATGAGAAGATATGATCTAATGGCAAATAAACTCAGTTTGATTACAACACATTACCTGAACAGATCTTTCACGTTCAATCGGCATTTTTCTTTTATAATACTCATCTCATCCATATAAATGAGTCGACAACAATAATAAATAATCGCATAATGACCTTGAGAAAATCACGTCGATAACAAAAATAGAACTGAACACTTTTTCAAATCAATTCGTTTTTTTTTCTAGGAAAAAAAAATGACCAGTGCACAAGGTCATATAAGATAAAACAGGTTGTTATATTTGACCTTGATGTGTATACTATGCACTTATATAAAACTCTTCTATACGTTACTTGCATAAAGAACGATTCAATGGTAACCGAACTGATCATCGGTCATTTATTAAATACAAGAGAAAAAGAAAAGAAAAAATATACTTATCGCTTTCGTATTCGTTATAACAAACTTTATTATCTAAATTCAGACTTTTTCTTTTTTCATTTCTTGACCATTGATCAATGCGAAGGTTCTTTAAAACAGTAGACAATTTTGTTCATCAGATATAGAGAACAAAAAAGAGAATGACGGAAGGACAAAAAAAAGTATAATACAGTATTGTACAGCTGAAGATTTTTGTTGTGTATGAACTGAAAACTACAATGTCACGGTTAAATAAATACAAGAGAGAGGAAGAGAGAGAGAGATTAATCAATTTCCTGTTTAATTCACGAAGGAGAATTAGATGAACAGATGTAAGCAGACTGAACTATTCCTATGGTACACAAACCTTGCTAATAGCAATTGTTTACCATCTGACACTTCAGTTTTGACAAATTGTTTTTCAATATTTGTGAGATGTTAGCTTACCTAGATTTCATGAGTAAATTATAAATAATGATTGAAAATCAAACATTGAACCAACTGTTTTATATAACTAACTGCATAGTCGTCATTTTTAACATTTTTCAAAAAGGGAAGCTATGACAGGAGACAATTTTAATGAAAATCATCTATATCAGGATAAACATGGCTGTTTTTCTTCGATTCATATCAACTAACTTCATTAGCTAAATATTTTTTTCCCGTTCTATTTCAATTCGGTGAGTATTGACCAACCACACATTTTCTTATATAGTAATATTAAAAGTGAATCAATCATCAAATGCCTGTGCAGAGTAGTGAATAGAAAAATATGAAAAACTCTTTGTACACGTACTATGTGTAAGACAAATTTTAAATCTGTAATAAACTGCTGAAATATCTAGAGAAAATAGCATCCAAAAAGACAGTCAATATGTTACTTATACTGCACACAGAAAACAATTTGGGCTCTCTCTCTCTCTACGTTAACTTCGTCAAATAATAACAGTTTTTAGTATTCGTTTCACTCTGACAAAATTTAGAGGAAAATAACGATTTAGTATAACATTGTTGATTATATAATATTAATTTTCTGATTATTCTACCACATTGCATATTTGTACAAGAGCAGATGTTCTCAACTGATTTGATCGTTATTTATCATTTGTCTACGTCATTTATGATTGATGATAATAGAGTATATAAAATTAAAAAACGAATTTTTAAAAAAATCAAAAATCAAGAAGAGAGAGACTAAGTGATGTAATTTAGAGAAAAGGTCATGTTATATATAATGGTCTGATTTATTTATTTTATTAAACATCAAACATTTTGATCGACAAAATAAATCGATCATTTTTAATGAGACTTAAGTGTCGAATTTGTTTAGTTGTTCACTTTCATTTTTTTTTTTTAGTTTAGATTAAAAAAAACATGCTTGATTTCATCGTATGTCGATAACATGTGTCAAACGAATATGTCTTAATCCATTTTAACCTCGAATGTAGAGTAATAAAGTAAACATTTCCACTGATATATCCAATCTAAAATGAACTCTGAGTACCTTACATGACATAAAGTTACATGAAGTGACTTTGAGAGTGGCTTGATTTTTATTTATAAATTTAATTTTTATTAATTAATATATAATTAATTATATTGATTATTATCGCCACTAACTGTACACTTTCATATAATGAAAATGATAATATCATATACTTTGAGAAAACACTATCTGATTATTCATCTCATATTGCTGTATTATTGCACAAATAGATATTTCTATCTTTCTAAACTTTTGATTTCTATATCGATGTAATGATTATCATTTAGGATTTAACAGTCATCGAATTTGATAAATCATTAATCTATGTCTTAATCTCATTCTTTGGTACTAATCGTCTTGATTATGTAATGCATCGGGCGTCTCTGAGTTAGACAGAAAAATTCAAGCGGAATAAGATTTGTACTTAGCTTGAATCTGCATCGTTGTGCAAAAGGGTTTCTTAGGTAAGCACCGAAGTTGTAAGCAAATACGTTTATATTATAATATATTGAAGTTTTCCTTTTTACTATGTTAAACTTTTCCCTTATCACTTATTTCAGGATGTCACTTATACCAATTATTGTTTATCAAATATTTAACACAAAATCTATTGAGTTAGTTGAAGGCTCCGGTATCTTATTAACGGTGCATGATTTCCTGATGTGGTAAGCAACGCTTGTGACATTATTGTTATTTTTGGACTAAATGACAGTCATTTTCATAAAATCGCAAGACTTTATACTGTGACATCTTTGATTGATCTGTAAGTATATCTGTCAAACTGTACTTTGTATTCCTGTACGAAAATCAATTACAAGCTATATACACACTTTAATCAGCCATAATTTCGCTGACTTATACCTGTACTATATTAACTGTCGGATCCATCTCATCAATCACGGTGGATAAAAACTACTAACTACCTAAGCTACATAAATACGTGCATGAGTTTTTTTACCATATATCAGTCTTATCACGAGCCATTTTTCGTTTGTTAATCTACGGACATACACGTGCTAGTGTATTGGCAGTGGTTGTAGTTCTTGCTTAAAGTGGAAATAAGCTTTCATTTGATCGTAAATTTTGCGCGGTAGTAAATCACATGCGTGAAGTATACTGCTCCCGCAGTACTGTTGTTCTTATGTGTAATCATAAAGAACGGTAGGTAGAAACTCTGTACACACTCTATAGACATATTGTTTGTCACAGTAGTCCTATTTGGAAAATGAATCAGGTAGTATGTCACACTGATTGTAAATAGCTGAAAGCGTAAGACGTAAAAGTTAACTTTATTACAAGTTCTATTAGAATTAATGATCATTTTATGTAAATATTCCATTGCTGTCATCTTCGTGTATATTATACCCGTATTTTTAGTACTTTAGAGATTATTCAGTGTCGTGTTAACGTCGAGTATATAGTTCAATGAATAGTTTTTGCGTCGTTTTACATTTCTTTGATTCTGAACTATACCGCAAACACCGATACAGATTGACTCAAAATGTATCCAAGAACAACAATATCGAGCTGTTGAATAAACCAGGATTGTGAGTTTACCATTTTCTTCGGTTTAATGATACAAGTAGAGTATATGCTTTAATCGAAATTTAATGTTCAAGTAGTCCTTGAAATTTTCCTTGCATTTTTGATACTATAAAGCTGATTTAGAAGAGAAAAAGTTGGCACTGTACAGAAAGATAGATGCGAATCTTTGTTACTGATTCATGTAAAATTTTCTCAAAAATCATTAAGATTGATGAGTTTTCCAGTGACATGTCTACGGTTAATCGAAATTACCTTATTTGAGGTAATTGCGATCAGTACACATGTCTCATTCAGGAAGTTTCCATAAGTGCTTAGCGGTAGGCGTAAAGTAAAACAGCTTTTGATCAATGGTAAGCCTCACTTTTCTAATTAAAAATTATCTCATCTTGTAGATAGTTTTGAGCACTTTCCAACCAAATGTTTGCCAAGCTAAGATCATCTTTCCTTAATTAGTTGATGATAATCACACAAAAAAAGAAACAATTGCTTTTTTGAAAATTTTTTATTTGAGATAACAATCATAACTAACAGTGATGTACATCACACACGAATTAATGAGTTTAGATCGAAATCGTGTCTTCTCGATTCGTTTCTAATTGCTCTCTCTCAATTCGTCCCAGTTTTTAAATACTTATTCTGCATAAGCTCTCTTTGTGTTCTTCAAAATAACAAGAGTTTCGTCCATGTTGATCAGAATAAAATAAATAAAAATATGTACGGAAACGTGTCTAAAACAAACAGTAGAAATTTACATTTGATCAAAAGTTGTCATGTGAGTGAAGTTTGCAATGTTAAGTTTTACGAAAACCGAAAAAAAGTAAACCTCCGCTGAATTTGAATGGTTATCAGTTTACAAAAAAGCGAAGTAATAAAGAAGAGTAATCAACGGAGATGCATAGATCATAATTGCACAAGTGTCATTTTGTTACGTTTACAAGATTTAGTCATCATGAAAGATGAAACACAACTTTCGTGTACACAAGATAAAAGTAAGATGATTATTGATACAGCAAAAATTTACAATGAGATTGATGAAAAATTGAAAAGTTTACTTGACACTCATGAAAAGGGGAGTTAACAAATCTACAATTAGCCATAAAATGTGAAAGGGCCATAAAAATTTATACGGAATAAAGACAATGTATTAATAATATTTTCTTGTTTCTATTTCTCGAAGTTGAGTTAAACATAAGAGAATTTATGAAGAAGTATTTAAAAAATGGGACGAACTGAGACTAAACAAAGCGACACGAATTAGTTGGGACGAATATGAGAGAGAGTAATTAGGGACGAATCGAGAGTAAACCGATCGAAATAGTGTTCGGAATTTGAATAGATGAAGACGGTGTTAAACGGCTGTCATACCCAGATGCTATAGAGTATCTGAGAAACGAGAGCAACAACCGATTTCACGACTACCAGAAGAACATGTAAGGTAAATATTCTGAACGCTTCTACTCTGTGCTACCGTTGTCGTTTCATCTGTGATTAGTATCAGATCCGCCAGTTTCAAACTATTTTCAAATGAAAATGGTAGTAACTTTGACAACCGACATATTTTACAACGCGTTGTTACACATTGATCATGTTTTTGATTTGACGTTTAAAAATAGAAGAATGGACTGAGCAATTTGTAAAGAAATAACAAATATCCTAATGGACGCCTATAATGTTTTCTTGGGTTGGACATTCACGGCTTTGATATAATGCGAGGATGTGAAAATTTATTCTGGAACAAGTCTGTTGTTCAATGACGAAGGCAATGATCCATCTATAGCGGATTATAAGCGCTTAGGTTGTAGTATTGAATGTGTATCAAAAATTATCTAATCAAGAAATATCGTCTAATATTGAAACGAATCCGAATCCAACACTTTACTTGTTTAAACCACTACCATTATTAGGCAAAATTCAATCAGGCGTTAACTCTGATGCTGCTGTATGATGACGGACCCAGCTTGTTATTCAAGACAATATTATGACAGCCACCGTAAGTTATCATGGTACAAAGTTAATACAAACGCATAGAAACAATTTGACATACACATGTCGCTTAAAATTAGTTATAACTGTCGTAGATATGCACCGGTATCGATATTCATACCGAAATACCGATACCGACAATACCGAACTTCGGTATATACCGATACCGAAAATACCGACTTTTTTCACTTAGAATTTTTTGGATTTTTTCATTTGAAATGAGATGTTTTAGCATCCTGGACATCCAGAATGAATCAGGGACGGAAAACAAGAGCTTTGTTTGCTTTCTAAAGCCAAAGTGTTTATTTTCTTTCTATCTGAACATGCTCAAAATACAGAGTTGAGTGTTGTTTATACGTTCTGCTTGTCCAGGATGCTAAAATACCTCATTTCAAATGAAAAAATCCAAAAAATTCCAAGTCAAAAAAAGTCGGTATTTTCGGTATCGGTATATACCGAAGTTCGGTGTTTTCGGTATCGGTATATACCGAAGTTCGATATTTTCGATATTCGGTATACAGATACCGGTGCATACCTAAACTGTCGGTTACAATGAGGCATATCGCCATATAGAAAAATTTTAAAAGCTTGTTCAATCAGAACAGATTATAAATTTGTCTTCTCCATAGTTGACTATCTGGTACACGATAACTTCGGACTCAGGATACTTTAGAAAAAATCTACGGCATCGTTTTGCCTTGTACAGCAACTTTCTGAAAAACGTTCGAGTGGAACTATGAGAAACTTTTTTCTAAAGTAGTCCTATTCAAAAGTTATTGCGCAGTAGATAATCGACTCACTGCAATTTGGAATTATTTTCTATTTTATAGAAAATCGATCTGGAAAATCGCCAAGGATTTTCCAACTTTTGTAAAATCCTCAGCGATTTTCTGACTGTTTAGAAAATGTTGATTTTCTCTACTTTATAGAAAATCCACTCGATTTTCTATTAATTGACTTTTCTCAATTTGCCAGAAAATCGATAAAGAATTCTAAAAAGTTGGAAAATCGACGGCGATTTTCTAATTTTTAGAAAATCAAAATCGATTTTCTATAAATAAATCCCAACATCCTTGAAATTTGACAGCGATTTTCTAAATAGTTGGAATATCGAATTCGATTTTCTAAGAAGACCAATCAGTCATTTTTTTCTTGTTTCTTTCAGATCTATCAAAGCCTTCATTGCAACAAGTTATCCTGTAACAGATCTCTGCTCCTTTTAGTATTTAACATCGGAAATTTTACTAGATTCGGAAAGTTCTGTCAGTTTGCAAATCAGCACATTCTTCGAAAAGTATTTTTGTTGTATGACACTCAAAGATCACAAAGAGGTACTAAAAAGGTTCTTGAGTTAGGCCACTCAAGAACCTTTTTAACCGATCTGGTTAGAATGTAGAAAATATTCGCTTAGGATTTTCTATAAATAATTCCCAAGAAGGTAGAAAATCGATGTCAACATTATTGGAAATTCGACTTTCTATAATCTGGAAAATCCGTGAGGATTTCATATATGAACTTTTTAAAAATCGCCGAGCATTTTCTATAAATAATTCCCGACTTTACAGTGTATAGAGAAAACGAATTTGTAATCGGTTTTGATCAAACAAAATTTTAAAATTTTTCTATTCGGTAATATGGAGTTTTACTAAATACGAGTTGTTCCAGTTATTTTTAATCACTTTTGATCGCGTGGTTTCTTCAAAATACGTTCCCAATTACATTATATATCAAGTTACAGTTACAACTAAAATGGGCTGCATGCAGCCCATTTTCAAATCTTTCATTTGATATATAAATATGTAAGATCTCCTCTTTCGGTTGGTGAGTACACGCCGATTAGCTGCAAAGATATTCAAAGAGATATTTTACCAGCTAGACAGACCAGATTTTCCCGATTTTGTAAACTAAAATTCAAAAGATTTTAATTTAGTTTTAATATGGGTCGGAACTGCGCACTCTGACGAATAAACTGGTATATAATTTGTTCAGAAACAGTTTAAAAAATAGAATAGCCAAAGCAATCAAGTGACAAAGATCGGCTGATTTTTTAAATTAAAACCCATAATCAACAAAATATTTGAGAACGTATTTTGAAGAAACTAGGCAACCAAAAGTGATCAGAAATAGCTGGGACAATCTGTACATTAAAATCGTGTAACCCTGCCACAAGCGTCACTGTATTACGGTTTTTGTTCTTTTTGCTTGTCTTATAAAAGCTAAACAAGACATCATGGATAATTTCGAGATATCTTATTTTGTAGTAAAACGTGTGCTCTTCATATCCATGAGCATTACTCACTATTTTTGACGTTATAGCTGAGGTATTAGCAACTTTTCTTATCTCCTTGCACATGAAGCATAGTGCATAGTATATAGTGTCTAAAGCTTAGTAGATGAGGAAACCTTTTTTTGAATGTATCATGTTGTAAAAATTCGTGAGATTTTCATGATACATAAAAAAACGCAAACTGAAAACAATGTACATATAAAAACAAAAGCACAACGACTAATATGTGAAAAAGAGCTTAGGCTTACACAACACACTTACAAACAATAAAAAAGAAAATGGAAACGCACACGCTTATCTACTATAATCTAAAGAGAGAGTTAACATAATCCAGAAAATGAGAAATATATTGCGTAAAAACTAAAGAATCAACTAAAAATACATACGAAAAAATGAAAAAAAAGATACATGTCATGAATAAGAATAATAATTGTTTCCTAAACAAGCAAAATTTCATTCATCACCATTAATGGCACATAATGCCATCACACAAGAGAAAAGAGAGATTGAAATGGCAATGTTAAAAAAACCAAAAAAAAAAACGAATGAGAGACACGCACAATAGAGCAAGTAGCATCAAATTTATTTGTCAAAGTCACCGAATTAATGTAGATCAGTTTGTGGAAAACAATAACTCGAGAACTCATGGCTTTATGTACAACATAGAAAACAAAACAAAGAACTCTTTCGTTAATATAGTAAGAAGAGAAAAGAGGGAAAAAAGTGCTTTTTATCAAAACTATAACTCGTTCTCTTGGAACACAAAAGAGCTAAGCTCGTGTAAAAACATTTTCCGTTCTTGTTACCAACGTCACCGGTGGTCACATGCATAAAATATTTTATGGAAAAAAAACAAATGATAACAAAAATGAAAAAATTGAGAGGTTTTATTGTAAGATGAAGCTGTCATTTTGGTTTGAATAGGAAGTGTTTCTATTTTATAAACTCTGTCAAGAGCCTAAACTATTGTGTTTTGATACTTAGCTCATTTTACCCTATTTTTGAGAAAAGAACGTGTGTTCAGCTAACCTTTTTTACTTTCATGGACAATTCTCTTCCTACTGATGTTAGATTGCATTAGAACTTTCCTCAGGAAACCATAATACTGAAATAAATATTATTTTCAGAATTTGTCACGACAGAAAAAAAGAGTCCGCATTACTCTGTTTCGGGTTCCATTCTCTAGACTATTTCTCAAGAGGCTTTAGTACTGTTTGGTCTAAGTAAACTTTTTGAGGCGTACATAAATAAAAGAAAACAAACAAACAAACAAACATCTACCAAACATATGAATGTTCGACACGGCATATAAAACTAATTAAGATTTAACTATTGTATAACAGACATTTAAGTTTTGCTGTTTCCTGTTTTAATTGGGCCACTTCCACACGTAGTTTTAAATTTTCTTGTTCTAACAATGCAGCTCTATAAATAAGAAAAAAAAGATAAATTAATAATATGCCATCAAGTAACGTTGACTAATTTCGAGAAAGATTCAGTCCCGATTCGTCGACACTCACTCTCACACCGCCCCTCCCGCCTTTGAAATTCTTTGATGTATATTCTTTGAAGTGTCCGATTTGTCGACGAATCGGGACGATACCTCGAGAAATACTACTAAACTACTGAATGAACAATTTTTCTTTCAGAACTTCAAACATGCTGGAGGACTCTCGAAATACTCGACAAATATTCAAGAATTGAAAAAGGTTATCAGAACTTTGTTTTATTATCTAAAATTAGATTTAATCGAAAATTCTATGCATCTTTTCACGTTCATAAGGTAAGAAAAAGACCATTTTTTTCCACCCACAGAAAGTTTATATGATACTCTTGAAATTACCACTACTGTTTTCTTAATCTATGATCAGACAAAGCAACTAACAGTGTCTTACCTGATAGCAATTTCATCTTCCTTTGCTCGTCGTGCATCTCTACTTCGTTTTGCTGCCTCATTATTTTTTCTTCTTCTTTCCCAATAGGCTTCATCTTTAATGGCATTTTGATCGGAATCTTGTGAAGATTGTGATTGAAAAGTATTTATTAGGTGATCATTATTGCAACTGATATTATTCGTATTGTTATTATCATCAATTGTCAATGCATGTGAACGATGACGTTTTTTAGGTGGAAGTTGTGTGGGTGAACTAGGTGGTTGAGAAGGTTGTTGTTGGTGATCAACAACTAAATTTTTCAATTGTGTTACATTTAAACGCTGCTGAAAACGGTCATGTGTCTGTTGTAAACGTTTACGATATTGACGATGATTCTGAGTGGGTGTCAGTGATTTTAGATCATTTGGAGTGGTGGAGGCAGGCATTTGTTGTTGCTGTTGCTGCTGTTGTTGCATTTGTTGGGCTTGTGCGAGCATGTTTAAAACGTTATTGGTATGCTCTGACGTTTGAAGTAACGGAGAACAGTAGCCTAATGGTAGCATCAAAGGATCTCGTGGATACCTGTTAAGGATAAAACGAAGATTCTAGAACGTATTATGGAACTTTTTTTGCTCAACTTACGCTTTAAAAGGACGTGTGGGTTTTCCATTTTTATTTGTCATCATAAATGGAAACGCTGTAGAATTGGAAACGGATGCTGTGGAAGTTGATGAAGTGGGAGTAGTTGGTGGGGTTGATACTGCTGAAAATAGAAGCACAAATAATTTTATTACTTAATTATCAATTGACAATTTGAATCATGTTATTACTGCTGCTATCCTTTGAAAGATGTTAATAATTAGACAAATGTACAGAACTCTCTGGCTTCGATGAATGAAATGATATATTCTAAGAAATGGAAATTATTCGATCTACAGAATCACCTGAATGTGGTGGCTGACGAACTTTTTTTTTTGAATTGCATTTCACTGAGTATATGAAGTTGATAGGGTTTATATATATAAATAATATCAGCGATCAAATCGATCAATCAAAGTGTTAGTTTTTTCTCGATCAGTCTTAATTAATGAAGAATAAGACTGTATAGATTGAAGTCTAGCACAACTAAAAATTAATGATGGCATAGTTTAACTTACTTTTGATCATGTTCGATAGTAACAATTTATCATACATAGATCCTCCTGTTTCCAATACTGGCGGAGACGGTGAATTATTGGCCTAAAATGACGATTATATGATTTAATCAATACTGGTGGTAATGTAGCACAATTATAAGTTACTTACTGCAACTGGCAGTGGATCTTGATGATATTCTGACGATATTTCACTCCCTTCATTATCACCATCTTCAGCACTCATATTATCATCATCGTCCAAGCTATTTGTTCGACGAGATGAAAAATCAAGTGGGCTATCAATTTGATTATTCGGATTCGGTGGCGATGGCGAAGAAGCGCTAGTTGATGGTGGTGATAAAGCTTGGTGATTTGTCGGTTCATATTTTTGTTTTTGTTGTAGAGCAGCAGCAGCAGCAATCACAGCCTAAAAACAGTACTCAATTAAATTATCTGAAAATAATCTGCAAATTTTTACTCACAGCTACAGCTGTTGCTTGTGCGTTTTGTTGTGCGATTAGTTTTAGGAAAACATCTTGTTGCGTTTGCGTCATTTCATTTCCATTTGATGCAGATGTGGCTGCTGTATACAAAGCAGCTAATTGAGCAGCAACATGTTGTTGAACTTGATTATGTGATGTTGGTGATGATGACATTTTTTTTGTTTCAGTTGGTATATCACCAAGTGTTAATTTTTGATGATAGTTTTTGCTTAGTTTTTTAGTTTCATCTTTTTTATTTATTCCGCCATTTATGATTGATTTTTGTGTTTTTGAACAATCATTCTCAATTTTTTCAACAGCTTGGGCTAGTAGTTGTAGACGGTGGTGTTGATTGGTTTGCTGTTGTTGTTGTTGTTGTTGTTGTAATTGTGGTGATTGGTCGTTTGATGATTGTACTTCGTTTTTGAGTAAATTATTTAATTCATGTGAGCTAACCTGCTAAAATTCAAGAAAAGGAGTGTCAATCAGAACTAATAGTGTCACTCAGTTTTCTAAAGGACAATATTTTGACATAGAACAATGTTTTTCTAATGTATCTTAACATAGAACGCTTCTGTTTTGTTTCATAATTCATAATTCAAAAAAAAATATATAATATTAACACAGATAAGTTTGCTACATCTTCAAGAATATGAGTAACGTTTCAATAACACATTCAACTGATAGAAAAAATTTATTTATTTCAAACCGATATTACTGTCGTAACTATAATGCCGTCATAATCCGGTCGTTTATTACATATGAAAAGAAAGTAATAACTGATTAATGTTTGACAGCGATAAAAACATGATGTAATTATGCAGATGGATTTCAAACAATAACAGTTAAGAAAACCAAAAATAGCTGCATGTTTATTTATCATTGAGTGACATTATTGTGGAATTACTGAAGGAAAACGAGAGACAAAAAGATTGTTTATGTGTTTTGTGTAATTTATTAACCTTGTACATGAAATCAGATGCATGAAACAAAGATCTACTAATGTAATCTTATAAGAGATGTGTACATATTTTAGAAGAACAGAATGTGATAGTCGAGTATATTAGCCATGATCTTCTAAATATTAGAGTGTCTTTAGCTAATTTGAGCTATATAGTAGCAAAAAAAATTCCTTCAATTTCAGAACTCTTGAAGACTTTGTAAGAAATTTGATGCTCCAACGTTTTTCTTTTGGCTATGTACATCCGCCGTCATCACAATCTGACCCGTTGTCTTTCTAGAGGCATATGAACTGATGACCGAAAATTTGATATGAAAGAAATATAGTGGTAGAGATCGAAATGTTAGTCAAATAGGGTTTAACGGTTTTTAAAACTGAGCCATTATCTCCGATTTTCTCAGCTAAACATTTTCACCTCTTCTTTGTACAGATTCAGATGGTTCACATGTTTTAAATACACGAGAGCAGACAATGATGGCGACTTTATATCGATCAAATTACGAAATAAATAACTAATTTTTATACATGATTTCGCACTTTGACATTTGACTTCTTTTTTAAGGTCAAATTAAACAGCTTACAGGAAGTTTTCTTTAATGTGGGTGCGTGTTTGACTAAACTAGAAAAACGAATAATTATGTACCATTTACGATTAAGATATTTCCTTTTGTTTTTATTTTTAACTCCTACAATAGTTGATCTAGATGTTGTCGAACTTACATAATAAAGAGAAGAAAAACAGTTTTTTTGTTTCTTTTTTGCAATTATCTATCATGAAGACATACAAAACACACAGGTCTGGAGAAAAAAATTAATGACATAACTAATATAAAAATAACTTCTATGTTATATGTATAGAAGAAAGTACTAGACAGCGTTTCTCAAGGTTAAGTATTTTTGACTATGAATGCAGAGCGCTATTTTATCTAGACGAATCCTGATCTATTCAAAACGTTTTGTGTACATATAATCTGATTCCTTAAGATTTATCATTCTTTAGTAAGAAAAACGTCTTGCTTCATTTAAGTTTAGAAGAAAAAAAAGAACTTATTCTTGTTAACACGGAAAACTTTCTTCTTTTCTAAGATTCGATAACTAATTTGAAATTCATTTCAAATACATCTGTAAATCATGAAAACAAACGCAACACATAAAGCAAAGATATGAGTACAAAGACATATGATGAAGAGTTTAGATCTTTTCTCTCAACTTTTGACTAAAAGTTTAAAAAATTTCACGTACATATATTGGATCCGTCACTTTTGTTCGAAATTGGTATAATTTCATATTTGTCCAAGACTAATAACGTTCAAAAACACCACATAAATAAAGAAAAATAATTTCACAGTCTTCTAAGGTACTGATGTAATCTGGCAGAACGTTCTTTTTTCTCAGAAGAATTTGAAAAAAACGTGATCTCTACTTTATACAAAAAAAAAGAGTATTTTAAAGAACTAAAAATACTTTTTTTATTCCAGATAAAATGTTAGAGTTTTATAAAAGTATAAAAACATACGTTGTGTAACTTTGCTGCATTCAAGCATAAAACTAAAACACGTTTTTTTAAAATATCACTTTGACTTTTTATTTTAATTAATACAAGGTTTTTTTCTGCTATAAGAAATGTTTTCATTTTTTGAATGAAGGCGCATAATCAAAACTGGTAAATCTACAAAAATGCAGTTGTTTCCCTCTTCATCTTTTTCCTCAATTCTCAAAGAATATGCTCAAAGTTTTAACTAGAAAAGTTGATCGAAATGTACCAATGAGATCACATTCATACCAACAGGATAGCGGAAAATGGAAACTGATTTTCCGCATCGCTTGCACATCAACTGAGCTAAGTATTTTCTTCTTGCCGTCTGGTATGAATATGCTCTATATATTACGGGTCATGAATTGAATATGTTCCTTCATCCGAGAGTAAAGGCGGAGATTGATCTTTCTTTTTATCTATTTATCATCATTCCTTCAATCTTCAAAGATTTTTATGAAACATACAGACTGAGAAGCTTTTCAGAATCAGTTGAAAGTCCTAGGTGAAGATAAAGTGAGACAAAAGACGTGAACTTTGCTAACAGCACATATAAGAAAATTTGTCCTTGTATTTTTGAATTTGTATACAAAGTCTTCCAAAAATTCAGCCTGTCTAATTCTCTAAAGAAAATATTCCACCAATACGTAGAATGCTTTTTAGTTAATTTTTAATAGACTTACAGTCTATTTTTAGTTTTTAAAATGGTTTTCTTTCTTTGACTATTGGCTATTACTGAGTACTTTAAGTTGAAGGCGAACTGTTCGATAACTGTACCTTTTTCGAGCGAATGAAACTGAAATTAGTTATATGAGATTAAAACAAATTAAGATTTTCTTTTGTTCCTCTACGAATGAATAATCCCAAGCTACCGAACGAGTGCGTTGACTCAAGTTAGTATAAAGGTTAATACACGAATGGAAAAAAACTTGATGTATTTAGTGACAAGACTGTTGAATCGAATTGTTACATTCAAAATGTTTGAAAGATAAATCTCACTAGACATTTTTTTCTTTCGAAGACGTTGTTTTGAGTACATGATCTCTACAGTATAATATGTTGATATGTGAACAGGCTAATTGTACAGTTCTCTATTTAGTTTTGAGAATAGAAAATGGAAGATGATTTTGCATTGATGACATAGTGGCTCCTTGCGCAATAGCAATGTAATTACAGAAAAATTGTGACATTACATTACACAAACTATAGAGGTTTGAAAAGCAATCTAGATCACCGATGACAAAGTATAAGTTCTGAAATTTGTCTCCTTTGGTTTTAAAAGAAAATAGATCACTTTGATCATCTTTAAATTGATCGCGAAATCTTGTTGTTGAATATTATGTTCATTTTCCACATAAAATTCTGAAAGATAAAGTTCATGATCTACTCTGTATTTTCTTCAATTTCATTAGAGAGTTTATAGTCACTAATTTGGTACTTTCTTTGTAACATTTATAGTCGAAGAGGTAAAAATTGAGCGCAAAAGAAATAACTTAACATCAGTGTTGACAAGTAATCAGTTCTAACTGAAAGAAAGACAAATTTCATGACTCACAGATGTCTATCTTCTCTTATGACTCAATGTCGTCTCTTCATCATCGTTCATTTTTATCACTTCTATTTTCACTAACCACTAAACTATTTTAACTCCTATCTATCCAACATTATCTGGTATCTTTCCGGATGTAAAAGAGATCGTTCAATAATAGTTGTTTGATTTTTTTATCTACTTACCATTATGGAACACATTGTATGATCGTCTTCCTTTTATCAAGGACAAGTGTTATGTACTCCTTGTCTCTTTTTAGTCGTTATTCTACAAATATGATGGGCATCTGGATTAAATTTGTTTCCAATTTTCATCAGTCGACATCTCTATTAATTTTTTTTTAGTTTCTCTCTTTATTCGTGATAAGATGTGCACAAAAATAACTAGTTCGTCCTAAATATATTCATAGAGGGTGCGATTGCGTGATTTTTATATTTTTTACATGTTACGTCTTTTTTTTACTTGATTGCGCGTCCTTATCCTGGTTTTAGTGTTTTTGTTGTTTCTTTTTTTCAGGGTTTGTTTTTTTTTTTCTTCATTGCATCCTGTTCGTTCGGATTTTTTTCTTCTTCTTTTTGAATGCTGCGTGACCTGCTATTAATGTGGTAGGAATATTATACACAGACTTTAGTTATGTAATATCGAGTTCCTCTTATGTCTTTCTTTCTTTCTACCATCTCATTTTTCATTTCGTTCCTATATATTTTTCTGTTCTATATTCTATTATTTATTGCATTCATTCTTTTTTTTTTCTCTCCCTCTATATGTTTTTATTTCTTTCTTCTTTTATGTAATATTTATTTGTTACGTTATTTTTTTGGCCTTCATTGTATACAAAAACATGTTTTTTATTTTATGTCTTTAGTTTCTTTATTTGTTCTGTACTAGACTGAGATCCTTGGTGTAAAGTAGAATAGAAGGATGACTGAAACATAACAACATCTCATTCTCATTTTTTTTTTCTCTTGCCGTTGTGCTATACTATTGTTGTCGACAATAGTACAATGAATTAGTTTTTTTCCTTCTCATTTCTGTATCAACCCTACTGATCGCTATATAAATGTTTTAAACAAATTATTTATTATTATTATTTTTGGTTTATGAATAGAAAAAGAAAAAGAAAAACTGGCTTTTTTGGTTATTTCTTTTTTACTCAAAAAAAAAAAAAAAAAAAAAAATTTTTAAAATTTTTTTTTTTTTTTTTTTTTTTTTTTTTTTGAACACATACCGTCTATAATTATTTATGCTCTTCTACATAATAAAAATGGCAATTATCTCTTCTTTGTTGTTAGTTGTGTAGAAAAATCAAAAAAAAAAAAAATCAATAGTACACATTAGTTTGACTGATAAGAATAAATGTCTTTTTCTATTTTGTATATGTGTGTGTCTCACACGCGCAACACAACAACAACAAAAAAAAAAAAGAAGAAAAACGAGAGAAAAAAATATGTTCAAATAAAAGTGTCAATCTATCATAACGTAGTTGTGAGCCTATAATCGTAATCGACACGTATATATATATATATAAAATCTATAACGAGTCTATCGTTGAAGTAATAGTAGTACTACAAGGCAAAGTATATATAAAAACGAAACACGTCCGCGAGGAAAAGAAACAAAGACACGCAAGTAAAAAAGCAAATGCAGAACTAAAAAAAGAAGAGAAAGAAATTATTATTAATAACTATATAGCTACTTGATATAGATTTTCTATGTATGCATTCCTCTTCTTTCTTTTATATTTTTTAATGTTATCCATGTTACTATTACTGTATGTGTATGTGTATGTGTGTGTGTGTGTGTGTGTGTGTGTTCATCAAAGAAAGAAAAACGGAAACAAGCGAAGATTGATGATGATGATGAACGTTAAACGATGTGTTGGTGTGCGAATCAACAAATAATATAGAGTACAGTAATATATAAAACATGACTGGTTTTTCATGGCTAAAAGAAAATCTGCTTTTCTTTTCATTTTTTGTTCTCTACTATCATCTAGTCTAAAAAGGAATTAATCAATGTGTGATATGATGCGAATGAAAGAACATGTATTTAATCGCACATATATATATAGCCCAGTATTATTATATTATATTCGGGAATATAACACTGATGATGAAGAAGAGGAGAGAAAAGAATCAAAAGGGAAAAAAAAATGAAATGTTATGTTATAACAACAACAACAACAACAGCGGAGATAATGATTAAAAATAATAATGATGGTGATAAACTTCACTTTACACTCAACATAAAAAATGGTGATAATGACACTGTCGGTTATTCAATACAAAAAAATAGTCAAAATTGACATAATAAGATTCGTATCTAATATAATCTTGTAACGTTGAATTTGAGTTCTATTTTCACTTAAAAAATTAATGAACCGGATAGAAACTTAGTACTACAGTCTAATCTCAATAACGATTATAATCAGTTGATACTTGTTTGAAAATGAGTCGAAATCGATCAATTTTTTTTTTTTTTTTTGTTCACAAGATACCACTCTAGATACTATCAAAATCAAAATTGTCTAATTATTACTCGACACGTATTAGTTACGAATGGTAATAATTTATAATATAAACTGATTCGAAATATAAAAACTAAAAATAGTCTCAAATTTTTGTGAAAAAAATATTGAAATATAATATTAATGAATATTGATGAGATGAAATAAAACATAACTGATGTTCAATAAACAAATGTATATAATTTGTTTTTTTATATATATGAAAAACACAAAAATCAATGCAACATTTGAATAAAATTAATGATAAAAAAATACATAAATATACCTTCGTTCTGTAATACCTGTATTAGATAGAAACTCATGTTGTATGTGTTAACCTGGTCTATATTTAAAAGAGAAGTAATCTTCTCTTTCTGTTTTTTTTGATGTTCATGTTGTTATTGTACTACTCGACTATTTAGTCTTGTCGTTTAACATCTCATGATGGCCGTCAGCGTCATCGGCGTGTTGTTAATCAAGTATCGAATTAAAAAGAAATTTTTTTTTTTTTCTTCTTCTCATCGCGTTCTTTTCTCTTCTAGTGACTATATATAAATATATATATATATTTATTCGTAAATATATATTTTACGAATAAAAATGACAATTGGTTATATATGCCGTTAAATAGGTTTGTTCTTGTACAAAAGTTTCAACTGTTCTCTTGATGTGAAAGAAGAAAATAATAAGATCCCATATTACTTTAGAGAGATGTGTGTGTGTGTTTATGTATGTTTTGGTTTAATCACATACAACTCATGTAAAGTCAGTAAAATCGTATTCATTAAATCTATCTCAAGTATCACTTTTTACATAAAATACAAAAACTCTCTTCTTCTTCTCGTCATATGTTAAAAATGAACATAAACATCTTTCAGGTGTTGTTCCACATATACACACACATATTTAAAAGGAAAAAAGTAGATAATGAGATTAAATTAAAATTTTTTCTTTTATTGTTAATCTTGACACATTTAGCTTATTTGGGAGTATGTGTGTGTGCACCACCATTGTGTTATATATAAATATTTGAATAAGAGAGACTTCTTTTCACTCTATTAGACAAACATTAACTGTCCTCTTTTCCTTTTTTTTTTTTTTTACTCTTTAACAAAACAAAAAAGAAAAGAACAAAACACTCACTGTGAATACTTGAGATATGTTCAGCTTCTCAGAAGAATTATAATCAAAATATAATGTCGACAGGTTTTTTTCATATTAAACACATACACGCGAAAGCAAATAATTTTTTCCATTAATTATTCACCAATAATTTAAACCTGCTCAGAATATGACACTATTTGCTGTGAATTGCAATAACTAAGCCTGCTTAGCATAAATAAAATCCTCAGATGATTTGAAAAGAAAAATCCTTTGAGTTACTGGAGAAAAATTATTTCGATAATCATCCGGAAATATCAAACATTGATCGTAACTCTTGAAGAACATCATGTCGGCTTTTGAATAAATACTAACGGAAAAATTTAAAGAGAACTTTAAATAACTAAGTCTATGAAAGAAAAAGAAAGGGAAGCGACAATTGTTCTTCTTCTTCAAAAAAGTAAAATACAAATGAATCGAGTGTGAAAGGATAGACTCGTTGGTATGTTTGATGGTAGATCGAACAGTTAGTTCATCAAGCTTCATTCACATCATTAGCTGTCTATTGACCACGAATAATGGCAAGCATACTTTCAGGCACCAGGTGAACAACGCACTGATGAAAATATGAAAATTAACTACCGAAAAGGTAAATCTTTTAAAACTGGTAACTTTATTCATCCGAACATGCTCAACATACAACAATGTTCCACAATATTTTTGTATATGTGTGTTAAAGTATATAAAAATATCATTCAGAGTTGAACTAGTACTAGTTTTATTGATTATGAGTATTTGACTTCTGAGTATTAGTCCGAGCATCGTAAAGAGTATAAGTTCGGGAATTTTATTCAACCCGAAAGTGATTAAAAGAAATATTTGCTGAATACTATCTATTTTTGCTACGTTTACTGTGTTAAAATAGCATTTCATTATCAATCATAGGTGTTAGCTTCAAAATTGAGTAAGTACACAGTTACTACAGTCAATACCTCTTGTACAATTTAAAAGTAAAAATAAACTGTATGATGCTGTTTTCCGATGAATATATCAAGTGGAGATATCAATACCTATGCGTATGAATGTGAGTACTCACTCAACTCTGATATAATTTAAATCCGTTAGCGTAGTCCAGATGATATGTGTACATCTATCTATAGAGGAAAAAAACAATAGGTGAATAAGATAAATCATAAGCTATTGTTCGAAATACATATAAACTACATTAGAAGAGTTCTTGTTACGCTTCGTACTTTTTTTCTCATGTTTATACATTTGTTATTAGTTCATAATAGTACAACAATCATATGTGAAATATAACCAAACAGCATCATGAATTATGATAAGCTGAAGGACTATTGTTCCTCAGAAAGATTTTTAGCCTTTTTGCTAAACATTTCTAGGTACTTTCTTTATATGTCGAAAGAAATGGAACCTCTCCCTTCAGTCTCAAATAATAATCGAGAAGATTAGGTAATATTTTCGACAGAAATAAAAGTATTTGCATGCATTCGTACTACCTCTTCAGACAAATGAACTTTTGTCATAAGAACATAACATACTAGTGAAAAATCGTTTACACATATGACACTG